CTGTTCTAGAGATACAGCCGCTCCGTACGCTTAACGGGACACCCTGTATATCTCTGGACCTCGGCTTTAATTATAATAGGAGATGAATGATTTTATTTGATTAAGCCAACGTCGTTTGCAGCTGAGGCAACGCAATCAGTATCATATAATTAATCCAGAATTAATCTATATATCTCTGTGCCTCGGCCGCAAGCGGCCTCGGCTATAATTGTAATAGGAGATGAATAATTTTATTTGATTAAGCCAACGTCGTTTGCAACTGAGGCAGCACAATTAGTATCATATAATTAATCCAGAATTAATCTATATATCTCTGTGCCTCGGCCGCGAGCGGCCTCGGCTTTAATTATAATAGGAGATGAATAATTTTATTTGATTAAGCCAACGTCGTTTGCAGCTGAGGCAGCACAATTAGTATCATATAATTAATCCACAATTAATCTATATATCTCTGTGCCTCGGCCGCGAGCGGCCTCGGCTTTAATTATAATAGGAGATGAATAATTTTATCGGATTAAATCGAAGTTGCTTGCGGCCGAGGCAGCACAATTAGTATTATAAAAACCTAAAAGTAATCTAAATAACTTTGAGCCTCGGCTATTTAATTACAATAAGAAATAAATAATTTTATCCGCTTAAGCCGAGGTCGCTGGCAGCCGAGGCGGTACAATTAATATCACATACACCTAAAATTAATCTAAATATTTTTATGCCTCGGCCGCAAGCGGCCTCGGCTTTAATTCCAGAAAACAATTAATGATTTTATCCGACTATGTCGAAGTCGCTTACGACTGAGGCAGCAAAATTAATATCACATATACTTAAAATCAATCTAAATATCTCTACGCCTCAGCCACAAGCGGCCTCGGCTTTAATGACTATAGAAAATGAATAATTTTATCGGATTAAACCGAGGTTGCTTGCGACCGAGGCAACACAATTAGTATTATAAAAACCTAAAAGTTATCTAAATAAGTTTGCGCCTCGGCCTCGAGCGGCCTCGGTTTTAATTCCAATAAGAAATAAATAATTTTATCCGCTTAAGCCGAAATCGTTTGCGGCCGAGGCAGCACAATTAATATCACATATACATACCTAAAACCAATCTAAATATCTCTGCGCCTCGGCCGCAAGGGGCCTCAGCTTTAATTCCAGAAAGACATTAATGATTAATCACCTTCCAGAAATACGCAGTAGTCTGCTATCAATTCTGCAAGTTCTGCAAGCTATATATAATCTTTTAAAAGTAGTATCTAACTATCTGCAAGTAGTATCAAATCTTTTGCAAGCAATATCCAGTTTTTTGTAAGGAATATAGTCATCTGCAAGCAATATTTAGTATTTTGACAGCAGTATATAGTCTTCTGGTAATAGTATCTAACCGTCTTCAAGCAGTATCCACGGTTGTGCAACCAATACAGTTATCTACAAGTAACAATTAGTCATCTGACAGTAATATCTAATCTTCTGTATGCAGTATCCAGTCTTCTGGAAACAATACAGCAGTGTCTAGTCTTCTGCAACCAATATAATCATCTGCCAACAGTATGTAGCCTTCTGGTAGTAGTATCTAACTGTCTTCAAGCAGTATCCACGGTTCTGCAACTAATATAGTCATCTGCAAGTAATAACTAACGATTTGACAGCAGTATCTAATCTTCTGCAAGCGAATCCAGCCTTTTGAAAACAATATAGTCATCTGCAAGCAGTATTTAGTGTTCTGACAGCAATTTTAAATCTCCTGCAAGCAGTATGCAATCTTCTGCAACCAATATAATCATCTGCCAACAGTAAGTAGTCTTCTATTAGCAGTATTTAACCTTCTTCAAGCAGTATCCATGGTCTTGCAACGGATATAGTCATCTACAAATAGTAACTAATCAATCTAATCTTCTGCAAACGGTTTCCAAGCTTATGGAAACAATATCGTCATGTGCAAGCAGTATTTATTTAGTGTTCTAACAACAATATTTATTGTTCTGACAGCAGTGTCAAATCTTTTGCAAACAGTATCCATAACCTTTTGCAAGCAATATTCAATCTTTTGTCACCAATCTAATCATCTGCAAGCAGTTTCTAGTCATCTGCCAACGATATTTATATTCCTGCAAGCAGTATCTTGTCTTGTGTTGATAGTATCCAATTTGCTGCAACCACTATAGTCATCTGCAAGCAGTATATAGATTTACATCAGGAGTATCTAGACTTGTGCCAGCAGTGCCTAGTCTTCTGCCAACGGTATCTATATTTCTGCAAACAGTATTTTGTTTTCTATTGGCAGTATCTAGTCTTCTGCCAGCAGTATCCAGTATTCTAGTAGCAGTGTGCTTCCATTTGCATTATGCCGGCAACTAAAACCAGAATTCGTTTCTTTTTCAGCAACATCTAATATTTGATATAGATTATGTTGCAACAATTAAAAACTTTTTTATTGTCATTTTCTTAATATTTATTAAAAATCCTTTAATTTGATATATCACTCCATTAGGTTATAATTTTTCGAGAAATCCAAGATGGCGTCTGTAATGTCATTTCATTTTTATAACAATTTTTGAGGTTAATACGTCGTGTTTCGGCTTAAATTAAACGTCTATTTCTCGGAAACATAAAAATTGGAATCATTTTTTTATGTTTTCTTTATTGATAGATGGCGTTGCTTAATAATATATGATATAGATTATGTAATAGCAACTAAAAATTCTTTTTGGTATTATTTTCTTAATATTTATTAAAAATCCTTTAATTTGATATGTCACTCAATTAGGTTATAATGATTTTTAGAGAAATCCAAGATGGCGTCTTTAATGTCATTTCATCTTTATGACAATTTTTGAGGTTAATACGTCATGTTTGGGCTTAAATTAAACGTCTATTTCTCGGAAACATAAAAATTGAAATCATTTTCTATTTTATCTTCATTAATAGATGGCGTTTCCTAATCAAATTTAATATTGGTTATCTTGTAACAATTAAAATTTTTTTTTAATATTATTTTCTTAATATTTATTAAAAATCCTTTAATTTGATATGTCACTCGATTAGGTTATGTTAATTTTAAGCAAAATTCAAGATGGCGCCTAACAAAAATGACATTTTTAATATATCATCATAAAGAGGGTGACTTTATGATTAATATGTCGATTTCTAATTTTACTTTACCCCTCGTTTTATTCATAAGAAACATTTATTAATTTATTAGAACCACTTAAAAATTCGAGATCGTCGAGTGTAGATCATCAAAATCGTATAAAAAATTAAAAATCCTTTAAAACTAATCCAAACACGGCTAAGTTATCTCTAAAAACGCCCAAATTACGATTATTTTAATAAAACGATCGTCGATTGTTTGATTCGCCATTTTGAAATTTTGAAATGTTTATTTTTTGAGATAACCCCATCGAGTTTGGGTTCATTTTAAAGGATTTTTTGTGTAGATTACAAAAGTATTATTAAAAAATTTTTTTTTTCATTCCACCTCATTTTCATATAGAGTAAATTCGATTTTTAATAACTAATTTCGAAATTAATTCAAATTTCTTTTTATATTCTTAATCCTCATTAAAAATGCTTTAAAATGAGCCTAAACTCGATAGGGTTAGTATTAAAATAAAAAAAAATCAAAATGGCGGATTTTAAAGGGGTGTTTTTTTATTTTAGGGGTAACTTTGGTGCTTTTAAAGATAACCCCATCGAGTTTGGGCTCATTTTAAAGGATTTTTAACTTCTAATTCGATGAATACGATTATAATTAATTTTAATTGCTGTAAGATAACCTATATTAAATTTTGATAGGAAACGCCATCTATGAATAAGAAAAAAATAAAAAATTACTTGAATTTTCACGTTTCCGAGAAACAGATGTTTAATTTAAGCCCAAACACGACATATTTATCTCAAAAATTTGCAGAAAGATGAATCTTGAATTTGTCTAAAAATCATTATAACCTAATTGAGTGTTATAAAACCTAGATATATCGAGTTTGGAATCGAAAAATTTATTAAAAATCTTTTAATTTGATGAATAACTTGGTGTCACAAATAAATTTGAGAAAGTTGAGTGTAGACCATCAAAATTATGTAGAAAATGAAAAATCCTACAAAACGAGTCCAAACACGGCAAAGTTATCTTTAAAATTACCCAAATTACGATGATTTTAATAAAACGATCGTCGATTGTTTGATCCGCCATTTTGAAATTTCGAAATTTTTGTTTTTAAAGATAACCCCATCGAGTTTGGGCTCGTTTTAAAGGATTTTTTGTGTAGATTATAAAAGTATTATTAAAATTTTTTTTTTTAAATTCACCTCATTTTTATATAGAATAAATCCGATTTCTGATAAGTTACGTTATTGTTTACCGAACGCGTTCGCTTAATAATTGACGGAGATGAAGCGAATTTTTTTCCCCCTTTTCAGAGGTTATTAGAATTGATCGAAATCAATTTTTTTTGACAATTTCGAAATTAATTCAAATTTCTTTTTATATTCTTAATCCTCATTAAAAATGCTTTAAAATGAGCCCAAACTCGATGGGGTTACTATTAAAACAAAAAAAATCAAAATGGCGGATTTTAAAGGGGTGTTTTTTTATTTTAGGGGTAACTTTAGTGGTTTTAAAGATAACCCCATCGAGTTTGGGCTCATTTTAAAGGATTTTTAATTTCTAATTCGATGAATATAATTTAATAATTATTTAAAAAAAATTTTTTATAAAATTGATTAAATCAAAATGACTCGAAGTCAATTTTTTCATATTCTTAATCAACATTAAAAATGCTTTAAAATGAGCCCAAACACGATGGGGTTGCTATTAACATAAAAAAAAATCAAAATGGCGGATTGTAAAGGGGTGTTTTTTTTATTTTAGGGGTAACTTTGGTGCTTTTAAAGATAACCCCATCGAGTTTGGGCTCATTTTAAAGGATTTTTTATTTCTAATTCGATGAATATAATTATAAATCGATTAAATCGAAATGAATAATTTTTGTTTTAAATTCCAGGTAGTTGTCAATTTCCAAAACAATGGTCGGGAAAATGGTTTCAATCGGGCGTCATCAGCCACATCCAAATCAACTCGACCTACATCGAAACGAAAGGCGAGTGTTACGAAGAACAAGGCGAAAAAGTCGTGGTCTACGATCGTTCAGAAAATTGTTACCGATGCATGGCGATCCACGTAAAACATCCAAGCGTGCTCCAATACAAAGAAACGTTTTGCGAACCATCCTCCCAAGATATCTGTTACGATATATCCGGGGATGCCCCGCTATACAGCATGTTTCGAAAAATTCCCGAAGCAAAGCCGATTCCTTGTCCGTTTAAAAGCGCACCTTTCACGTTTCAATATAATAAAGGCAGCGAGGAATGTACGAATCCCCCAAGTAAAGCGGAAAGTTGTACTGATGATTCAAGATTGGTTTTGAAATATCAAGCGTGTCCCGATGTACCAGGTACGGAAAGTAACGTCGAAGAATTAATATGTTTAGCGGTTTGGAAAGAGGGTTCAACGAGATATTTAGTCGGGAAAATATCCCAATGGAATCGTCGCAGTTTAAATACCGATGAAGACCAATTCCGATGTTTTATTTACCAAAGAGTAATCGGAAGAGATGGCGAAGTTATTTATAATATAGCGCAATCGGGCGATGCGTCTTGTAATGGAATTACAAACGCGTTGGAAGGATCCAAAACGATGAAGTTGCGAACCGTTGATAACCATCATAATCGTTGCAAATTCCCAACTTGGATAACCGACCACCACACTTGGTTGAGTTTGGATCATAAAAAAACTTACAAGTTTTCGCAACGAAACGCAACGTTAAAAATCGTCGATGAAGATCCGAAATTGTTGACGCCGTCGCGGCAAAGACACGATAATTACGCGGCACAATTCGCGTTTCAAACGTTGGGGTTTGAATCGCAAGAACAAAGAAAAACTAACGCTGAAATGAGGGTGGTGTGTCATAGTATTTTGCAATCGGTCGAACAAAGAAAAGTGCAGATTGTTGCTCATATTACACATGGATGGTGAGATAAATTAAATTATTTTAAATAAAAATTAATTAAATTAATTTTATATCATTTTTTTTAGTGATAGCGGATATATTTGCATGGTTTTTCATAAACGCGACTCCGGGGTTATTGAAATACAACAATCCGGGCACGAAACTGGTTATGAAGAGAACGCCGATGACGCTTGTAAGAATTTTGATCCGATTAATACTCCGTATACAACCTTAATAAGTAAGTAAATTAATTAATTAATTAATTAACCTTTTAGTTGGATTGGAAATTAAAAATCCTTTAAAATGATACCAAACACGACGTATTTATCTTTAAAAATGGCGGAAATGTCACTTTTTAACATAAAAAACAAACGGTGTCGACAACAAAATGGCGCCTAATTGTTTTTTGACGTTTTGGGTTGATTTTACCCGATTTTAGCCGAGTTTGGACTTAAATTAAAGGAAATTTGATATGGATTTTGAAAGTGTTATCAAAAATTCGAAATAAATGGTCTACACTCAAATTTTTTCATAAAAATTAAAATTTTCCTAAAAAAATATTAACTTTATTAATAATGACGAAATAATACATAATGAGAAGTATTAATAATATAAATCTAGGAAAATTCATGAAATGGTCTACACTCAACCTTTTTGCTAAATTTAAAAATGTAATAATTCTGAGTTTTTAATCTCAAAAAATTGAGAGAAATATATAATTATAACAAAAATTTCACTTTCTAAAGTTTTTATAGTGGAAATGTCAAAATTAATGGTCTACAATCAACGTTTTTGCTAAATCAATGAATTAATAACTCTAACAATATCAAATAACGCCAATTTCAACAAATAAAGAAGATTGTGTGCTTTATAATGTGGCAAATGTATTAAAAAGTAGTCAAAGAATTGATGGTCTACACTCAATGTTTTTTTAACCTATTAAAATTGCCAAAAAAATGATTAATTTTTAATAAATTTAGAAAATAGTGACGAGAAACGTCAATGTTTAAAACTAGTAGTGAATAAAAATGTCATAAAATCGGTGGTCTACAGTCAACGTTTTTTGCAAAATTAATATGTTAACATCAAACAATACCAATTTTAATGATCAAAAGACTGAATTTTATGGTTATAACATTTTTAAAATTCTATAAAAAAAAATCATATAATCGATGGTCTACACTCCACTTTTTTGTTTAATTAGCAAATTAACAAATATCAAAAAGCCTCGATATTAATAACAAATGATGAAAAATGTAAATTTTATAATAAAAATTTTCTGCTAATAACTATAATAAAATCGGTGGTCTACACTCAACGTTTTCTTCCAAATGATTATAATTAAAAATTGATAAAAATTTTAACTTTAATAAAGCACGAAAACTATATATTAGGAGAGATTATTTCAAATATCGATTTTAAAAAATATTAAATAGACCAAAGCCGGTGGTCTACACTGAACCTTATCTCCAAGATTAGTAAATGTCAATTCTAAACAACCTCATATTTAATTTAACAACAATGTATGTATACGACGAGAAATAGTAATTGTTTTCATATGAAAAACAATAAGTCGGTGGTCTACACTCCACGTTTTCTTCGAAATATTTAAAATTACAAATTGGAAAAAACTTTAAAAAATAAAAAAAAAACATATTAAGAGAAATTAGTTAAAACATTGATCTTTAAACATCAAAAAGACTCTAATCGATGGTCTACACTCAACCATTTCTCCCAAATTAGTAAAAGTATTAATTCTAAACAACCTCATCTTTAATTCATTAAGAAAAATGTACCCATATAACGTGAAATATCAATTTTTGAAATAAAAAGTCAAAGTCGGTCTACACTCAACATTTTTTCCCTAAATTAGAACGAAATATTGTTTAAAAACTTTAACATNCAACAATGTCATAAAATCGGGGGTCTACACTCAACTTTTTCATAAAAATTAAAATTTCCCTAAAAACATATTAACATTATTAATAATGACGAAATAATACGTAATGAGATACTATAAATTTAGGAAAATTCTTGAAATGGTCTACACTCAACCTTTTTATTAAATTCAAAAATGTAACAATCCTGAGTTCTTTATGTAAAAATGTTGAGAGAAATGTATAATTATAACAAACAATTTAGATTTACGTAAAGTAGTGATGAGAAACGTCAACTTTTAAAACTAAAAATGTCATAAAATCGGTGGTCTACAATCAACGTTTTTTGCTAAATTAATAAGCTAACATCAAATAATGCTAATTTTAATGACATTTTAAGACTATGAATTTTATGAAGTTATACAATTTTTAAAATTCTGGAAAAGTCATAAAATCGATGGCCTACACTCCACCTGTTTGTTAAATTAGCAATTTAAAAAAATCGATTAAAACATCCAAAAATAGAAAGGAAATTAAAAATCTTTTAAAACGACACCAAACACGACATATTTATCTTTAAAAATGGCGGAATGACATTTTTTAACATAAAAAACAAACGATATCGGCAACAAAATGGCGCCTAATTGTTTTTTGACGTTTTAGATTGATTTTGCCCGATTTTAGCCGAGTTTAGACTTGAATTAAAGGAAATTTGATATGAATTTTAAAAGTGTTATCAAAAATTCGAAATAATTGGTCTACATTCAACTTTTTCATAAAAATTAAAATTTCCCTAAAAAATATTAACTTTATTAATAATAACGAAATAGTACATAATGAGAAGTATTAATAATATAAATTTAGGAAAATTCTTGAAATGGTCTACACTCAACCTTTTTACTAAATTAAAAAATTTTACAATTCTAAGTTTTTAATGTCAACAAATTTAGAGAAATGTATAATTATAACAAAAATTTCACTTTCAAAAATTTTTATAGGGGAAATGTCAAAATTAATGGTCTACACTCAATGTTTTTTTAACCTATTAAAATTACGAAAAAAAAAAGATTAATTTTAATAAATTTAGATTTATGTAAAATAGTGACCTTTAAAACTAAAAATGTCATAAAATCGGTGGTCTACAATCAACGTTTTTTGGTAAATTAATAAGCTAACATCAAATAATGCTAATTTTAATGACATTTTAAGATTGTGAATTTTATGAAATTATACAATTTTTAAAAATCTGGAAAAGTCATAAAATCGATGGTCTACACTCCACCTGTTTGTTTAATTAGCAATTTAAAAAATCTATTAAAATATCCAAAAATCGAAAGGAAATTAAAAATCGTTTAAAACGACACCAAACACGACGTATTTATGTTTAAAAATGGCGGAAATGTCATTTTTTAACATAAAAAACAAACGATGTCGACAACAAAATGGCGCCTAATTGTTTTTTGACGTTTTGGGTTGATTTTACCCGATTTTAGCCGAGTTTGGACTTAAATTAAAGGAAATTTGATATGGATTTTGAAAGTGTTATCAAAAATTCGAAATAAATGGTCTACACTCAAATTTTTTCATAAAAATTAAAATTTTCCTAAAAAAATATTAACTTTATTAATAATGACGAAATAATACATAATGAGAAGTATTAATAATATAAATCTAGGAAAATTCATGAAATGGTCTACACTCAACCTTTTTGCTAAATTTAAAAATGTAATAATTCTGAGTTTTTAATCTCAAAAAATTGAGAGAAATATATAATTATAACAAAAATTTCACTTTCTAAAGTTTTTATAGTGGAAATGTCAAAATTAATGGTCTACAATCAACGTTTTTGCTAAATCAATGAATTAATAACTCTAACAATATCAAATAACGCCAATTTCAACAAATAAAGAAGATTGTGTGCTTTATAATGTGGCAAATGTATTAAAAAGTAGTCAAAGAATTGATGGTCTACACTCAATGTTTTTTTAACCTATTAAAATTGCCAAAAAAATGATTAATTTTTAATAAATTTAGAAAATAGTGACGAGAAACGTCAATGTTTAAAACTAGTAGTGAATAAAAATGTCATAAAATCGGTGGTCTACAGTCAACGTTTTTTGCAAAATTAATATGTTAACATCAAACAATACCAATTTTAATGATCAAAAGACTGAATTTTATGGTTATAACATTTTTAAAATTCTATAAAAAAAAATCATATAATCGATGGTCTACACTCCACTTTTTTGTTTAATTAGCAAATTAACAAATATCAAAAAGCCTCGATATTAATAACAAATGATGAAAAATGTAAATTTTATAATAAAAATTTTCTGCTAATAACTATAATAAAATCGGTGGTCTACACTCAACGTTTTCTTCCAAATGATTATAATTAAAAATTGATAAAAATTTTAACTTTAATAAAGCACGAAAACTATATATTAGGAGAGATTATTTCAAATATCGATTTTAAAAAATATTAAATAGACCAAAGCCGGTGGTCTACACTGAACCTTATCTCCAAGATTAGTAAATGTCAATTCTAAACAACCTCATATTTAATTTAACAACAATGTATGTATACGACGAGAAATAGTAATTGTTTTCATATGAAAAACAATAAGTCGGTGGTCTACACTCCACGTTTTCTTCGAAATATTTAAAATTACAAATTGGAAAAAACTTTAAAAAATAAAAAAAAAACATATTAAGAGAAATTAGTTAAAACATTGATCTTTAAACATCAAAAAGACTCTAATCGATGGTCTACACTCAACCATTTCTCCCAAATTAGTAAAAGTATTAATTCTAAACAACCTCATCTTTAATTCATTAAGAAAAATGTACCCATATAACGTGAAATATCAATTTTTGAAATAAAAAGTCAAAGTCGGTCTACACTCAACATTTTTTCCCTAAATTAGAACGAAATATTGTTTAAAAACTTTAACATTAATAAATTAAGAAAACTATATTATATTAAGAGACGTTAAAATCAAAATAAATTAAGATCAAAAAGATCAAAATCGGTGGTCTATACTCCACCTTTTTGTTAAATTAGTAAATTAATAAAATATTAAAAACCCTTGAGATCAACTAAAGATGAAAAATGTAAATTTTATAATAAAAAATTTCTTATAATAACAATAATAAAATTGGTGGTCTACACTCAACGTTCTCTTCCAAATGAGTAAAATTTAAAATTCGCAATAATGTTAACTTTAATAAATTAAGAACACTGTATATTAAGAAACATTAAGATCAAAATAAATTAATATCAAAAAGATCAAAATCGGTGGTCTACACTCTATATTTTTGCTAAGTTAGGAAAAATAACAATTTCGAAAAATCTCAACGTTAACAAGTAAAGAAAAATGTATATTTGTAACTAAAAATGTTAATATTTGGATATCTAAAAAGTCAAAAACGGTGGTCTACACTCAACATTTAGCTAAATTGATAGCTTCAAAATATAAAAAACGTTTTTAAGAAGTTACAATGACGAATATCGATTTTATAATGTGAAATATAAAATTTTTAAATATGTATCAAAAAAATTTTATATAGTCGGTGGTCTACACTCAACATTTCTCCCAATGTAAAATTTTTAGTAAACACATTAATAATCAAATATTTTTCATAACAAAGCATGAAAGATATCTAATAAATAATTATATTTAAAATTAATTATTTCCAATATGGCGGAAAATCAACGAGCGCCCTCTACGATACAATTATTTTTAAAGATAACCCCATCGAGTTTGGGCTCATTTTAAAGGATTTTTTATTTCTTATTTGATAAATATAATTATATATAATTTTTTTTGTTTAGCAACAACTCTCCATCCACAAAATTGCCCCCACTTGGGTCGTTACACTCTCGAACCAACCCCAGGATCTTCCACCACCGAAGAACGTCGCAAGAAACGTCAACAACCCTCCACCCAATCCACCCCTAACTCCAACTCAAACTCCAACCCTAACCCAAACTTTAACCCCAACCAAAAACAGTCGATTTCTTTAGACCCCTCATTAAACCACCCCCAACACCTACCCCCGGAGTGCATCTCGAACGATTTCGAAGCCTTAGCAGTCGGATGCGGGGGCTCCCAAGAAGTAATGGAATTTCGAACACCCTGTATACAACAACCGATCGCCGGATTTACTTGTCACGGAAGCTGGGAGGAAAATAATACGTTTTTCGTGATTACGTCACCTTTAACGAGGCGAGCGACCGATTCGATGCGATATTGTTTCGTGTATACGTTTAGTGGGGGTAGCAGGAATGGTGGTGGGGGTATGATGACAGTCGCCGATATGAATATGGGGTTTGGGAGAGGTGGAGGTGGAAACGGCGGTGGAAACGGGGGGATTGGGGGTGCGTATGGAAGCGGGCCCGGAAACGGAGCGCACGTGTTGATGATAAGCGGATTGTCGGGAAATTGTAATCGCGATGTTATACCGGGTGTTAAAGGAACGTGGGCGTTTAATTTTACGAGTAATGGTAAGTTAAAAAAAATTAAAAGTGCTTTAAAATGAACCCAAACTCGATGGGGTTATCTCAAAAAATAATTAATTCAAGATGGCGCTTGTTTATTATCCGCCATTTTGAATTATTTTAATCATTTTTAATTTAAAATCCCTTTAAAATGAGACCAAACTCGATGGGGTTATCTCAAAAAATAATTAATTCAAGATGGCGGAAAATGAAAGAGCGCCATCTTGAATTAATTATTTTTTGAGATAACCCCATCGAGTTTGGTCTCATTTTAAAGGGATTTTAAATTAAAAATGATTAAAAAAATAATTAATTCAAGATGGCGGAAAATGAAAGAGCGCCATCTTGAATTAATTATTTTTTGAGATAACCCCATCGAGTTTGGTCTCATTTTAAAGGGATTTTAAATTAAAAATGATTAAAAAAATAATTAATTCAAGATGGCGGAAAATGAAAGAGCGCCATCTTGAATTAATTATTTTTTGAGATAACCCCATCGAGTTTGGTCTCATTTTAAAGGGATTTTAAATTAAAAATGATTAAAAAAATAATTAATTCAAGATGGCGGAAAATGAAAGAGCGCCATCTTGAATTAATTATTTTTTGAGATAACCCCATCGAGTTTGGTCTCATTTTAAAGGGATTTTAAATTAAAAATGATTAAAAAAATAATTAATTCAAGATGGCGGAAAATGAAAGAGCGCCATCTTGAATTAATTATTTTTTGAGATAACCCCATCGAGTTTGGTCTCATTTTAAAGGGATTTTAAATTAAAAATGATTAAAAAAATAATTAATTCAAGATGGCGGAAAATGAAAGAGCGCCATCTTGAATTAATTATTTTTTTAGATAACCCCATCGAGTTTGGTCTCATTTTAAAGGGATTTTAAATTAAAACTGAATGAAAAAATAATTAATTCAAGATGGCGGAAAATGAAAGAGCGCCATGTTGAATTAATTACTTTTTGAGATAACCCCATCGTGTTTGGGCTCATTTTAAAGGGTTTTTGATGGAGATTACGATGATGTAATTATTTTTTTTTAAAGGTACTTGTGCCGAAAATCAACTAAGAAGTAACGGTGTTAGTTTGTTATTAACGGCTGCGACAATTTTGGAAATAATCGTAGCTTCATGGGCGGCGTTGGTTATCGTCAGATGATGAAGAAGAACCAAACAACCGACGTTGCACACTCTATCGGAGGACTGAAGTAATTAATTAATTAATTAATAAGGATTATTAAGGAAGAAAAATTTTTTTTGGAGAAAACCGGAAAAATGGTAGCTTAAAATAATGCGTAAATATTATTACATTAAAATATTTAAACAACCCGAGAAGAAAAAAAAATTAATTAATTATTAGAGACGTTTTTTAAAAATTAAAAAAAAAATAGTGAATTAATTAATTAACATCTTAAAGTGGAAAATTAAAATTAGAGTTTCTCGTGATGAGCGACGAAATCCAGACATATCAAGGTGGCTTTGAAAAAAAATTTTTTGAAATTTTGATAAAAGATGTCGCTACTGGTTTCGGCTCAACGACGAAAACTAAAATTAATTAGTTAAAAAGTACCAAAGACGCGAAAAAAATTTTAATCGATTAAATTAAAATCTTTTAATTAAAAATAATTAATTAATTAATAAGTCGGTGTGATTGTTAATTAATAATAATTATTTCAAAAAAAAATTAATTAATCAATTCAAATTAATTAATTATGAATTAATAAAAATCGAAATGTTGAGCTTTTTTATGGATTAAAAGAAAAATTGAAGTCATGATACAACGAAATATTATGGAACAAAATAATGACAGCTTTTTGTACGCTTTTTTTAATTTAAAAAAAATTAATTAAATTTGGGAAAGTGATGACACTAAAAAAAATGAAAAAAAAAATGGAAAGAAACTGTGATTTGTAGTTGTTGTAATGAGAGAGAAAAAATTAATTAAAAAAATTATTTTTAATTAATTAAAAAAAAAATAATTTTTTTTATTTTTTTAATTTTGGTAGCTAAAAACGATTAAAAAATTGTACAGGGATTTTTGGTGACTTGAAATTTTTAATGGGATAATTAATTAAAAAGTTAATTTAAACACCCTGTATATATTTTTTCGACTGGAGTAGCTTTGCGAAAGTATACACAGAGAGAGATAGACACAGAAAAGAGATATTTTAAAAAGGAATTGTACAACTTAGTTGTATAAAAAATTGTAAATAATTATTAACGAGAAAAAAAAATTAATTAATTAATTAATAATAATCGCTCATCATAAACTAAAAAAAAAAATAACTTTTATTTAAGAAAAAAAAAACTTTTGTACATTACTGTAAATAGATGTGTTACCGAAATGAAAAAAAAATTAATTAATTAAAAAAATAATAAATTAAAATATTAATTAAATTTATATTTTTGTGTTTAAAAAATCGTGAAATGTTGAAGAAAAGTGAAGATTGGGACGATTTGAAAACAAATAAAATTTTTTAATTAATTAATTTTTAAAAATTTTTAAAAAAAATAATCGCGTTTGTAAATAAAAATGAAGTGATCGTATTTTTTTCTTTCTTACTGTGATTTTCTAACTAAAAAAAGTTTTTAGGTACACGTAAAAGAACACTTAAAACACTCAACTCACAACAAAAAACACGTTAATTAATAATTAATTAAAAAAAATTATAAAAAAAAAAATAATTAAAGAAAAATGGAAATTAAATGAAAAGATCGGTAGCTCTATGAATGTAAAAAAAACTGTTTTTTCGATATTAAAACGCGTTTAATAACAATCGATTAATTTTAATTAATTAATTTTTGTTTTGAAAGTTAATCGATTGTGGGTTTAACCGCGATTCATGTCTAAATGTTAGCTTCTCTATTCGATTAATTAATTAATTATTAATTGTAAAGAAAAAAAATTAAAAATAATTAATTAATAATTTATTCCTATTTATTATTGCCGGATTCTTTGCCTCCCCAAAAAAAAAAAAAAATAAAAATAAAATAACATAAAAATGTTCTTGTCATCTCGATGTCATTTTTTAAGAAAAGAAAAAACCGACTTTGTCTCATATAGTGTGTCCGATTTATGCTTATCATACTATATATATTATATATATATAAAAATAAACATAAGGGTTATAATTATTATATTTTGACTATAAAAAATAAATAAAAAATGAAAATACAAGTTTTTTTGTGTTTTAATTTAAAATAATTAAAAGTTTTTGAATCACCTGTACAAATTTTTACTTAGCATAGTTTCAAACCAACAAATTTAAGTAATACCGCCATCTATCTCCCAATTTCTGAACTATATTTTAAAATTTCATTGGTTCGAAACTTTACTAAATAAAAAATTATACCGGGTGATCCAAATAAAAATTGTAATTCGGAATAAAATTTGTTCGAAATTAAATTATTTTTGGATCACCCGGTATAATTTTTTACTTAGTAAAGTTTCAAACCAACAAATTTAAGAAATAGCGCCATCTATCTTTCAATTTCCGAACTATATTTTGAAATTTAATTGGTTCGAAACTCGGCTAAGGAAAAAATTATACCGGGTGATCCAAATAAACATTAAAATTTGAGGTGAAATTTTCTCGAAATTAAATTATTTTTGAATCACCCGGTATAATTTTTTCCTTAGCCGAGTTTCAAACCATCAGTAATTTCAATAATAGCGCCATCTATCGTTCAATTGCCGAACTAATCGAAATTATTTTGAAATTGAGATGGTTCGAAACACGACTAATGAAAAAATTATACCGGGTGATCACAATAAAAATTGTAATTCGGGTTCAAATTTTCTTAAAATTAAATTGTTTTTGAATCACCCGGTATAATTTTTTCCTTAGCCGAGTTTCAAACCATCAGTGATTTGAATTATATCACCATCTATCGTTCAATTACCGAACTAATTGAAATTATTTTGAAATTGAGATGGTTCGAAACTCGACTAATGAAAAAATTATACCGGGTGATCACAATAAAAATTGTAATTCGGGTTCAAATTTTCTTAAAATTAAATTGTTTTTGAATCACCCGGTATAATTTTTTCCTTAGCCGAGTTTCAAACCATCAGTAATTTGAATTAAATCGCCATCTATCGTTCAATTACCGAACTAATCGCAATTATTTTGAAATTTAATTGGTTCGAAACTCGGCTAAGGAAATAATTATACCGGGTGATCCAATTAAAAATAGTAATTTTGGTTGGAATTTTCTCGAAAGTAAATTATTTTTGAATCACCCGGTATAATTTTTTTCTTAGCCGAGTTTCGAACCCACAGTTATAATCAACAATATCGCCATCTATCGTTTAATTGCCGAACTAATCGAAATTATTTTGAAATTGAGATGGTTCGAAACTCGACTAATGAAAAAATTATACCGGGTGATCAAAATAAAAATTGTAATTCGGGTTCAAATTTTCTTAAAATTAAATTATTTTTGAATCACCCGGTATAATTTTTTCATTAGCCGAGTTTCGAACCAACAGTAATTTAGATAAAATCGCCATCTATCGTTCAATTGCCAAACTAATCGAAATTATTTTGAAATTAAGTTGGTTCGAAACTCGACTAATGAAAAAATTATACCGGGTGATTCAAATAAAAATTATAATTCTGATTAAATTTTCTCAAAATTAAATTATTTTTGAATCATCCTGTATAACATTTTACTTAGTGAAGTTTCAAACCTTCTCATATTTAACTAAGACCGCCATCTATTGTTCAATTGTCAAATTAATCGGAATTAAATTTTCTTAGTAAAGTTTCAAACCTTCTCAAATCCAAATAAATTCGCCATCTTTTGTTCAATAGCAGAACTAATTGGAATTATATTTTTCTTAGTCGAGTTTCAAACCTTAAATTGTAATAAATACGCCATTTTCGTTCAATTGATGAACTAATCGGAATTAATTTGAGGTTAACTAGGAGAATTGTGATAAAGGTGTTGGATTGAATGAGAAACGGTGTATATTTAAAATAAAATTTATTTTCCTTAAAAAACGAACTCCTAATTACTTCCTTTAACAACACATTACAAAGAGTGATTTAAAACTTTCTTTTAATTTTTCAGCGTCCATGGTATCTTTAGGTTAATTTCCATTAAAATCTCTTCAACAAGCACCTTTTCTATTCAACAAAATCAAATAAATTTAAGAAATAACAAAAAATAAATTAACACCAGCTGATTTCATAAATGACATTACCAACTTAAATTTAATTTAAAAATAAAAAATCAGGAAAACTACTAATCTATTAATTATTTAATTAAAAACGAGTGATTATTTCCTACCTTGATAAATCCTTTTATTTCTTATTTTCCGTATTATTCCCAAACAAAAATCCCTTTCTTCCAATTAGTGGTTATTGGAGTTAAAAAAAAATCTTGACAAACCTCGGTTTTAATTGGTTTTTCAGCATCCATGGTATCTTTAGGTTAATTTCCATTAAAATCTCTTCAATAAACACCTTTTCTATTCAACAAAATCAAATAAATTTAAGAAATAATAAAAAATAAATTAATACCAGCTGATTTCATAAATGACATTACTTCATTTGTCAATGCCACCAACTTAAATTTAATTTAAAAATAAAAAATCACGAAAACTAAAAAGATAACCTCAAAATTTCGGATTTTAATTTTTACTAATTTATTAATTATTTAATTAAAAACGAGTGTTTATTTCTTACCTTGATAAACTTTTTTATTTCTTATTTTCCGTATTATTCCCAAACAAAAATCCTTTTCTTCCGATTAATGATTATCGGAGTTAAAAATTTTGATAAACATCAATTTTAATTGATTTTTCATCATCCACGGCATCTTTAGGTTAATTTCCATTAAAATCTCTTCAATAAACACCTTTTCTATTCAACAAAATCAAATAAATTCAAGAATAAAAAAATAATTTAATACCAGCTGATTTAATAAATGACTTAAACTTCATTTGTCAATGCAACCAACTTAAATTTAATTCAAAATCAAAAATCACTGAATTAAAAATTTTTAAATTAAAAATTAATAATAAATATTTATATGTATAATTAACTTACCATCAAATTAAATTATTTCCATGAAGGACATCAAGGTTATTTTAAATCATTTATTCACCTTTTATCTTATTCACCACTTCTTAACTAGATTTTTATCTACTTTATCTAAATTTCCAGAACAAAGGATTTTTATATCTTGAGTTACTTCGAATTTTCCGTAATATTCCTAAACGATCTTGGATTTTCCGTAAATCGATACGGGGAATAAAAATCATTCGTAAATAACTTGCCCAATATAAACGGAGTTTCTTTCAGCGGGGACAGCATCTTTTGTGATTTTTCCTTTATAATCACGCCAATAAACATCAAAATCTCCGCTTTTTATCGATTTAATTAGGATTAACATTAAGATCGTCGAGGTTAAATCCATTTTTAGGTTAAAAACTAATTTGACATAACAAAGCGGCGCCATCTCTTTTCCAAAGGACCAAGTTTAGTGAGAAATCGTTAAAATATTAATTCTTATTTATTTACTTATTATTTATAATAAAAACAAGAAATTATAATACACATACACAGCTTAATTAATTAATTAATTAAGTATTTGGGTGATCCTCATCTCGCGGGCTATAAACTCCCGAATCGATCGAGTTAGTTGGGGAATTTTTTTGGAGTGGTTTTTCCTCCATCTCGCACTCGTCGTTTTCAGATAAAGTCCTTTGCCTTTGCATGATGTGGTTGTAGGATTTCGCGAAGAACCCGTTATTGCGAATTGGGGCCTCCGAAATCTTCCCCGTGCTTAACGATTTCACCAAAACCCTCGAATTTCCGTCGGTTTTTTTAAACATGGCGTTTAAAAAATTATTTTTTGACTCAATTTTTCGTTTCTCACTCAACGAAAATTGCGATAAAATCCTGCGAACGTCGCCGGGGATTTCCACATCAACTTTTTCCTCGATTAAAGTATTAATAAACGAAGTTAAAGCGGAAATGGTCACCTCAAATCCGCGATTTTGCGTTATTAAGTTATTAATTTGCGAATTTTGTTTAGTTTTAGACATCTCTAAGCGGTTAATTTCGGCGGATAATACATCGATTTCTCTTTTTAGGTTCTTATTTTCTTCAATTAAGCTTTTATTTGTTTCCTCTAACTTATTTAAGTTCTCAACTTGGGGTTGGACGCTCNTAAACGCCTTTTCTATTCAATAAAATCAAATAAATTTAAGAAATAATAAAAAATAAATTAATACCAGCTGATTTCATAAATGACATTACTTCATTTGTCAATGCAACCAACTTAAATCTAATTTAAAAATAAAAAATCACGAAAGCTAAAAAGATAACCTCAAAATTTTCGATTTTAATTTTTACTAATTTATTAATTATTTAATTAAAAACGAGTGTTTATTTCTTACCTTGATAAATTCATTTTATTTCTTATTTTCCGTATTATTCCAAAAGAAAAATCCTTTTTTTTTTCACAATTAGTGGTTATCAGAGTTAGAAAAAATCTTGACGAACCTCGATTTTAATTGGTTTTTCAGCATCCTTAGTATCTTTAGGTTAATTTCCATTAAAATCACTCCAATAAACGCCTTTTCTATTCAATAAAATCAAATAAATTTAAGAATTAATAAAAAATAAATTAATACCAGCTGATTTCATAAATGACATTACTTCATTTGTCAATGCAACCAACTTAAATTTAATTTAAAAATAAAAAATCATGAAAACTAAAAAGTTAACCTCAAAATTTTCGATTTTAATTTTTACTAATTTATTAATTATTTAATTAAAAATGAGTGTTTATTTCTTACCTTGATAAATTCTTATATTTCTTATTTTCCGTATTATTCCGAAACAAAAATACTTTTCATCCAATTAGTGGTTATCCGAGTTAAAAAAAAATCTTGACGAACGTCGATTTTAATTGGTTTTTCACCATCCATGGTATCTTTAGGTTAATTTCCATTAAAATCTCTTCGATAAACGCCTTTTCTATTCAATAAAATCAAATAAATTTAAGAAATAATAAAAAATAAATTAATACCAGCTGATTTCATAAATGACATTACTTCATTTGTCAATGCAACCAACTTAAATTTAATTTAAAAATAAAAAATCACGAAAACTAAAAAGATAACCTCAACATTTTCGATTTTAATTTTTACTAATTTATTAATTATTTAAAGATGAGTGTTTATTTCTTACCTTAATAAATTCATTTTATTTCTTATTTTCCGTATTATTCCCAAACAAAAATCCTTTTCTTCTAATTAGTGGTTATTGAAGTAAAAAAAAATCTTAATGAACCTCGGTTTTAATTGGTTTTTCAGCATCCATGGTATCTTTAGGTTAGTTTCTATTAAAATCTCTTCAATAAACATCTTTTCTATTCCATAAAATCAAATAAATTAAAGAATTAATAAAAAATAAATTAATACCAGCTGATTTCATCAATGACTATTTCATTTGTCAATGCAACCAACTTAAATTTAATTTAAAAATAAAAAATCACGAAAACTAAAAAGATAACCTCAAAATTTTCGATTTTAATTTTTACTAATTTATTAATTATTTAATTAAAAATGAGAGTTTATTTCTTACCTTGATAAATCCTTATATTTTTTATTTTCCGTATTATTCCAAAATAAAAATCCTTTTTTTTCAATTAGTGGTTATCGGAGTTAAAAAAAATCTTGACGAACCTCAGTTTTAATTGGTTTTTCAGCATCCATGGTATCTTTAGGTTAATTTCCATTAAAATCTCTTCAATAAACACCTTTTCTATTCAATAAAATCAAATAAATTTAAGAATTAATAAAAAATAAATTAATACCAGCTGATTTCATAAATGACTATTTCATTTGTCAATGCAACCAACTTAAATTTAATTTAAAAATAAAAAATCACGAAAACTAAAGAGATAACCTCAAAATTTCCGATTTTAATTTTTACTAATTTATTAATTATTTAATTAAAAATGACTGATTATTTCTTACCTTCATAAATTCATTTTATTTTCTATTTTCCGTATTATTCCGAAACAAAAATCCTTTTCTTCTAATTAGTGGTTATTGGAATTAAAAAAAATCTTGACGAACCTCGATTTTAATTGGATTCTCAGCATCCATGGTATTTTTAGGTTAATTTCCATTAAAATCACTCCAATAAACGCCTTTTCTATTCAATAAAATCAAATAAATTTAAGAAATAATAAAAAATAAATTAATACCAGCTGATTTCATAAATGACATTACTTCATTTGTCAATGCAACCAACTTAAATCTAATTTAAAAATAAAAAATCACGAAAACTAAAAAGATAACCTCAAAATTTCGGATTTTAATTTTTACTAATTTATTAATTATTTAATTAAAAACGAGTGTTTATTTCTTACCTTGATAAACTTTTTTATTTCTTATTTTCCGTATTATTCCCTAACAAAAATCCTTTTCTTCCGATTAATGATTATCGGAGTTAAAAATTTTGATAAACATCAATTTTAATTGATTTTTCATCATCCACGGCATCTTTAGGTTAATTTCCATTAATATCTCTTCAATAAACACCTTTTCTATTCAACAAGATCAAATAAATTCAAGAATAAAAAAATAATTTAATACCAGCTGATTTAATAAATGACTTAAACTTCATTTGTCAATGCAACCAACTTAAATTTAATTCAAAATCAAAAATCACTGAATTAAAAATTTTTAAATTAAAAATTAATAATAAATATTTATATGTATAATTAACTTACCATCAAATTAAATTATTTCCATGAAGGACATCAAGGTTATTTTAAATCATTTATTCACCTTTTATCTTATTCACCACTTCTTAACTAGATTTTTATCTACTTTATCTAAATTTCCAGAACAAAGGATTTTTATATCTTGAGTTACTTCGAATTTTCCGTAATATTCCTAAACGATCTTGGATTTTCCGTAAATCGATACGGGGAATAAAAATCATTCGTAAATAACTTGCCCAATATAAACGGAGTTTCTTTCAGCGGGGACAGCATCTTTTGTGATTTTTCCTTTATAATCACGCCAATAAACATCAAAATCTCCGCTTTTTATCGATTTAATTAGGATTAACATTAAGATCGTCGAGGTTAAATCCATTTTTAGGTTAAAAACTAATTTGACATAACAAAGCGGCGCCATCTCTTTTCCAAAGGACCAAGTTTAGTGAGAAATCGTTAAAATATTAATTCTTATTTATTTACTTATTATTTATAATAAAAACAAGAAATTATAATACACATACACAGCTTAATTAATTAATTAATTAAGTATTTGGGTGATCCTCATCTCGCGGGCTATAAACTCCCGAATCGATCGAGTTAGTTGGGGAATTTTTTTGGAGTGGTTTTTCCCCCATCTCGCACTCGTCGTTTTCGGATAAAGTCCTTTGCCTTTGCATGATGTGGTTGTAGGATTTCGCGAAGAACCCGTTATTGCGAATTGGGGCCTCCGAAATTTTCCCCGTGCTTAACGATTTCACCAAAACCCTCGAATTTCCGTCGGTTTTTTTAAACATGGCGTTTAAAAAATTATTTTTTGACTCAATTTTTCGTTTCTCACTCAACGAAAATTGCGATAAAATCCTGCGAACGTCGCCGGGGATTTCCACATCAACTTTTTCCTCGATTAAAGTATTAATAAACGAAGTTAAAGCGGAAATGGTCACCTCAAATCCGCGATTTTGCGTTATTAAGTTATTAATTTGCGAATTTTGTTTAGTTTTAGACATCTCTAAGCGGTTAATTTCGGCGGATAATACATCGATTTCTCTTTTTAGGTTCTTATTTTCTTCAATTAAGCTTTTATTTGTTTCCTCTAACTTATTTAAGTTCTCAACTTGGGGTTGGACGCTCAATATCTCTTCTTGTAGCACTAAATATTCGACTTTGTATTCGTTTAACTTCTTAGTTACTTCAATTTTGTTAATATCAGTTAAAATTTCGTTAAAAATCTCCGAATTCTCGACCATCCTTGGTAGGCGATTCTTTAAAAGCCCCATAATTTCCTCGAAATTCTCGCATTTCAATAAATCGTCTTTAAAACGAGTTAAAAGCGCCATCGAAATTTTAAAAACAACCTCAGGGTGGTCGGCGAAAATTAAATCGAACACCCGCGACACAAAACCCAAAGGAAATTGGGACGCAAACATGGTTAATAACCAAGGGGCCGCGTATAAAGTTGGGGCGATTTCGTATAAATCAAAATGGTCGTATAATTCGGGGATTTTATCGTGGAGGAGACGAGAAAGTTGATAAAGTTTTATTTGGAGCCCAATCATATCAGGTAAATATTGCTTCCTGAGATCGCGTTGGAACATTAAGTGGTGAAGAAGTGAAAAAGTTTGGGATTTCTCTTAAATTAATTAACTTAAATTTAATTTAAAAATAAAAAATCACAAAAACTAAAAAGATAGCCTCAAATTTCTGATTTTAATTTTTACTAATTTATTAATTATTTACTAACGTGGTATCTTTAGGTTAATTTCCATTAAAATCTCTTCAATAAATACCTTTTCTATTCAACAAAATCAAATAAATTTAAGAAATAACAAAAAATAAATTAACACCAGCTGATTTTATAAATGACATTACTTCATTTGTCAATGCAACCAACTTAAATTTAATTTAAAAATAAAAAATCATGAAAACTAAAAAGTTAACCTCAAAATTTTCGATTTTAATTTTTACTAATTTATTAATTATTTAATTAAAAATGAGTGTTTATTTCTTACCTTGATAAATTCTTATATTTCTTATTTTCCGTATTATTCCGAAACAAAAATACTTTTCATCCAATTAGTGGTTATCCGAGTTAAAAAAAAATCTTGACGAACGTCGATTTTAATTGGTTTTTCACCATCCATGGTATCTTTAGGTTAATTTCCATTAAAATCTCTTCGATAAACGCCTTTTCTATTCAATAAAATCAAATAAATTTAAGAAATAATAAAAAATAAATTAATACCAGCTGATTTCATAAATGACATTACTTCATTTGTCAATGCAACCAACTTAAATTTAATTTAAAAATAAAAAATCACGAAAACTAAAAAGATAACCTCAAAATTTCCGATTTTAATTTTTACTAATTTATTAATTATTTAATTAAAAATTAATGTTTATTTCTTACCTTGATAAATCCCTTTATTTCTTGTTTTCCGTATTATTCCCAAACAAAAATCCTTTTCTTCCGATTAATACATAGCAATCGGAATTAAAAAAAATTTTAACCAACGATGGTTTTAATTGATTTTTCAGCATCCATGGTTTCCTTAGGTTAATTTCCATTAAAGTCTCTTCAATAAACACCTTTTCTATTCAACAAAATCAAATAAATTCAAGAATAAAAAAATAATTTAATACCAGCTGATTTTATAAATGACATTAAACTTCATTTGTCAATGCAACCAACTTAAATTTAAGTTAAAATCAAAAATCACTAAATTAAAAAAAATTTTTAAATTAAAAATTAATAATAAATATTTATATGTATAATTAACTTACCATCAAATTAAATTATTTTCTTGAAGGACATCTAGGTTATTTCAAATCATTTCGATAAACTTGTTAACCTTTAATCTTATTCACCATTTCTTAACTCAATTTTATTTCAAATTCGACTCAAAATACAACAAAAAAAAGTTAATTTATTCCAAATTAATTCTCGTCATAAATTAAAACTTGAAAATCAAAAACTCTATAATACGACCCATCATTATTCCAAATATTTAATCCCTTAATATGCGGCGATGTAAAATTAACCTTCCCAACTCTCCATTGATTCTCATGAAACGTTTTTCCAATATACCAATTAAAATCGTTTTGAAACCCACCTTCGATGGTTGTATTTACGAGATTTTCAGGAAGATTATCGACATGAATTTGTTTCCATTTTACTTTATCTAAATTTCCAGAACAAAGAATTTTTATATCTTTAGTTACTTCGAATTTTCCGTAATATTCCGAAACGAATTTCTTGGATTTTGCGTAAATCGATCCGGGGAATAAAAATCCTTCGTAAATAACTTGTCCAATATAAACGGAGTTTTTTTCAGCGGGGACAGCATCTTTTGGGATTTCTCCTTTATAATCACGCCAATAAATATCCCAATCTTCGCTTTTTATCGATTTAATTAGGATTAATATTAAGATCGTCGAGGTTAAATCCATTTTTAGGTTAAAAACTAATTTGACATAATAAAGTGGCGCCATCTCTTTTCAAAGGATTAAGTTTAGTGAGAAATCGTAAAAATATTAATTCTTATTTATTTACTTATTATTTATAATAAAAACAAGAAGTTATAATACACACAAATACCGTTTCTATTCAATAAAATCAAATAAATTTAAGAAATAATAAAAAATAAATTAATACCAGCTGATTTCATAAATGACATTACTTCATTTGTCAATGCAACCAACTTAAATTTAATTTAAAAATAAAAAATCACGAAAACTAAAGAGATAACCTCAAAATTTGCGATTTTAATTTTTACTAATTTATTAATTATTTAATTAAAAATGTGTGTTTATTTCTTACCTTGATAAATTCTTTTATTTTCAGTATTATTCCGAAACAAAAATTCTTTTTTTTCAATTAGTGGTTATCGGAGTTAAAAAAATCTTGACGAACCTCGATTTTAATTGGTTTTTCAGCATCCTTGGTATCTTTAGGTTAATTTCCATTAAAATCACTCCAATAAACGCCTATTCTATTCAATAAAATCAAATAAATTTAAGAATCAATAAAAAATAAATTAATACCAGCTGATTTCATAAACGACATTACTTCATTTGTCAATGCAACCAACTTAAATTTAATTTAAAAATAAAACATCAGGAAAACTAAAAAGATAACCTCAAAATTTCCGATTTTAATTTTTACTAATTTATTAATTATTTAATTAAAAATAAGAGTTTATTTCTTACCTTAATAAATCCTTTTATTTCTTATTTTCTGTATTATTCCCAAACAAAAATCCTTTTCTTCCGATTAATGATTATCGGAGTTAAAAATTTTGATAAACATCAATTTTAATTGATTTTTCATCATCCACGGCATCTTTAGGTTAATTTCCATTAAAATCTCTTCAATAAACACCTTTTCTATTCAATAAAATCAAATAAATTTAAGAATTAATAAAAAATAAATTAATACCAGCTGATTTCATAAATGACTATTTCATTTGTCAATGCAACCAACTTAAATTTAATTTAAAAATAAAAAATCACGAAAACTAAAGAGATAACCTCAAAATTTCCGATTTTAATTTTTACTAATTTATTAATTATTTAATTAAAAATGACTGATTATTTCTTACCTTCATAAATTCATTTTATTTTCTATTTTCCGTATTATTCCGAAACAAAAATCCTTTTCTTCTAATTAGTGGTTATTGGAATTAAAAAAAATCTTGACGAACCTCGATTTTAATTGGATTCTCAGCATCCATGGTATTTTTAGGTTAATTTCCATTAAAATCACTCCAATAAACGCCTTTTCTATTCAATAAAATCAAATAAATTTAAGAAATAATAAAAAATAAATTAATACCAGCTGATTTCATAAATGACATTACTTCATTTGTCAATGCAACCAACTTAAATTTAATTTAAAAATAAAAAATCACGAAAACTAAAAAGATAACCTCAACATTTCGGATTTTAATTTTTACTAATTTATTAATTATTTAAAGATGAGTGTTTATTTCTTACCTTAATAAATTCATTTTATTTCTTATTTTCCGTATTATTCCCAAACAAAAATCCTTTTCTTCCAATTAGTGGTTATTGAAGTAAAAAAAAATCTGAATGAACCTCGGTTTTAATTGGTTTTTCATCATCCATGGTATCTTTAGGTTAGTTTCTATTAAAATCTCTTCAATAAACATCTTTTCTATTCCATAAAATCAAATAAATTTAAGAATTATTAATAAAAAGATAAATTAATACCAGCTGATTTCATAAATGACATTACTTCATTTGTCAATGCAACCAACTTAAATTTAATTTAAAAATAAATAATCAGGAAAATTAAAAAGATAACCTCAAAACTTCCGATTTTAATTTTTTATTAATTTATTAATTATTTAATTAAAAATGAGAGTTTATTTCTTACCTTGATAAAACCTCATATTTTTTATTTTCCGTGTTATTCCCAAACAAAAATCCTTTTCTTCCGATTAATGATTATCGGAGTTAAAAATTTTGATAAACATCAATTTTAATTGATTTTTCATCATCCACGGCATCTTTAGGTTAATTTCCATTAAAATCTCTTCAATAAACACCTTTTCTATTCAACAAAATCAAATAAATTTAAGAAATAATAAAAAATAAATTAATACCAGCTGATTTCATAAATGACATTACTTCATTTGTCAATGCAACCAACTTAAATTTAATTTAAAAATAAAAAATCACGAAAACTAAAAAGATAACCTCAAAATTTCGGATTTTAATTTTTACTAATTTATTAATTATTTAATTAAAAACGAGTGTTTATTTCTTACCTTGATAAACTTTTTTATTTCTTATTTTCCGTATTATTCCCTAACAAAAATCCTTTTCTTCCGATTAATGATTATCGGAGTTAAAAATTTTGATAAACATCAATTTTAATTGATTTTTCATCATCCACGGCATCTTTAGGTTAATTTCCATTAATATCTCTTCAATAAACACCTTTTCTATTCAACAAGATCAAATAAATTCAAGAATAAAAAAATAATTTAATACCAGCTGATTTAATAAATGACTTAAACTTCATTTGTCAATGCAACCAACTTAAATTTAATTCAAAATCAAAAATCACTGAATTAAAAATTTTTAAATTAAAAATTAATAATAAATATTTATATGTATAATTAACTTACCATCAAATTAAATTATTTCCATGAAGGACATCAAGGTTATTTTAAATCATTTATTCACCTTTTATCTTATTCACCACTTCTTAACTAGATTTTTATCTACTTTATCTAAATTTCCAGAACAAAGGATTTTTATATCTTGAGTTACTTCGAATTTTCCGTAATATTCCTAAACGATCTTGGATTTTCCGTAAATCGATACGGGGAATAAAAATCATTCGTAAATAACTTGCCCAATATAAACGGAGTTTCTTTCAGCGGGGACAGCATCTTTTGTGATTTTTCCTTTATAATCACGCCAATAAACATCAAAATCTCCGCTTTTTATCGATTTAATTAGGATTAACATTAAGATCGTCGAGGTTAAATCCATTTTTAGGTTAAAAACTAATTTGACATAACAAAGCGGCGCCATCTCTTTTCCAAAGGACCAAGTTTAGTGAGAAATCGTTAAAATATTAATTCTTATTTATTTACTTATTATTTATAATAAAAACAAGAAATTATAATACACATACACAGCTTAATTAATTAATTAATTAAGTATTTGGGTGATCCTCATCTCGCGGGCTATAAACTCCCGAATCGATCGAGTTAGTTGGGGAATTTTTTTGGAGTGGTTTTTCCTCCATCTCGCACTCGTCGTTTTCGGATAAAGTCCTTTGCCTTTGCATGATGTGGTTGTAGGATTTCGCGAAGAACCCGTTATTGCGAATTGGGGCCTCCGAAATCTTCCCCGTGCTTAACGATTTCACCAAAACCCTCGAATTTCCGTCGGTTTTTTTAAACATGGCGTTTAAAAAATTATTTTTTGACTCAATTTTTCGTTTCTCACTCAACGAAAATTGCGATAAAATCCTCCGAACGTCGCCGGGGATTTCCACATCAACTTTTTCCTCGATTAAAGTATTAATAAACGAAGTTAAAGCGGAAATGGTCACCTCAAATCCGCGATTTTGCGTTATTAAGTTATTAATTTGCGAATTTTGTTTAGTTTTAGACATCTCTAAGCGGTTAATTTCGGCGGATAATACATCGATTTCTCTTTTTAGGTTCTTATTTTCTTCAATTAAGCTTTTATTTGTTTCCTCTAACTTATTTAAGTTCTCAACTTGGGGTTGGACGCTCAATATCTCTTCTTGTAGCACTAAATATTCGACTTTGTATTCGTTTAACTTCTTAGTTACTTCAATTTTGTTAATATCAGTTAAAATTTCGTTAAAAATCTCCGAATTCTCGACCATCCTTGGTAGGCGATTCTTTAAAAGCCCCATAATTTCCTCGAAATTCTCGCATTTCAATAAATCGTCTTTAAAACGAGTTAAAAGCGCCATCGAAATTTTAAAAACAACCTCAGGGTGGTCGGCGAAAATTAAATCGAACACCCGCGACACAAAACCCAAAGGAAATTGGGAGGCAAACATGGTTAATAACCAAGGGGCCGCGTATAAAGTTGGGGCGATTTCGTATAAATCAAAATGATCGTATAATTCGGGGATTTTATCGTGGAGGAGACGAGAAAGTTGATAAAGTTTTATTTGGAGCCCAATCATATCAGGTAAATATTGCTTCCTGAGATCGCGTTGGAACATTAAGTGGCGAAGAAGCGAAAAAGCTTGGGATTCCTCCATATGTAGCAATAAAACCCCTGCTACAAAACTTAATCCTTGGCAATACCCCACTTCGGGGTCCAACAAAGAATAAGCCTTCAATAAATTAAACAGTGCTAATTGCCCAGGGCCTAAAGGGCTCTTATAATAAGGATGTGCGGGATAAGTTCGCCCCAAATCGATTAAAATCGCGTGTTGATGCGAGGTAAGCTGCTTTAATAAATTTTCATACGAAACGTAATAATTCGGGAATAAATTTAGGTCGATTAATTTCGCTTTTGATTCATCCTTATCGAATTTATCCGCTAAATAATTCCAAATTTCGCCCCGCTTTATTTTTGGGATACCATTTTTAACCATCTCATCGATTTCGTAATTATTAAAATTGCTCAAATCGAAGCATTTCTCCCCAAACAACTCATCATACTCCAATTTAACCCGTTTCAAATCCTTCTCTTCTTGTCGCGCTTTCAAACGCGCGTTTTCTTTTTCCATGCGCACTAAAAGGATCGCTTGACGGATCGAGTTTTTCCATAAAGTTCTTAATTCCTCTGGAGTGCGGCGTTTTCGGTGTTGCTCGTTTTTGCGGGGTGTTATAACACGTTTAAAAATGGCTTGGCGATAAGAACCGTGTTCCGGTTTGGTGTTGTTTGGGGAAGTTTCATCGCTCGATTTTGGAGTACCCACTTTTAAAAATCTAAAAAAGAATTGTGTTATAATTAAAAGATTTCATTTCTAATTAATATCTGCATCAAATCAAACGTAATAAAATCGAATGACATAAATTGTCAAAACAATGACATAACCTCAAACGTCTCTCAAATGAGATTTTAAATAAAAAAATAAAATAAATCTTAAATTAAAGTAAATTTGTTTACGAAAGTTTTAATTAATGTTAATAAAGTGATTTAAAATCATTAATTAATAAAAATTATGTTAAAATCGCCCAAAAAATATTATAATAATTAAAGTCCCTAGATTTACAAGTACCGCGGTTTGACGCCATTTTGGCTCGAAAGTCAAGCGGGAAATTTAAAACTACAAACCAAAACATTACGCCAAATTTCCTTTCTTTTTTTCTCGTGGTACTCTGAAGAGTTGAAAGTCCTTCTTACTGCTATTTTTGCAACTCCGAAGGCAACAAGACGGCAATATTTTTGTAAATAAGTGGTGAGATGCAGTGACAAGCTGTCAAACCGCCATTTTGGCTCGAAAAGAGGCGTCATGAACCGCGGTACTTTGTAAATCTAGGGACTTTAATAATAATCATATAGTTACGCCATCTAGTAGTAAAAGAGTTAATCTAATGATTTTCAAAAATTTAACAAAGTATTGTGAAACACATCGTATTTAAAATCAATACAATTTCGACAAAAAGTACCTTATGAGAATACCCTACGAACGTTGCCAGATCGTTGGTATATACAGTACGTGTCATAAGTAAACCCCTTAAATCATTTGAAAACGGTTCAAAATATAATATTGTCAAAATAGATATTGACGCATCTAAAAGAGCAATATTGTTAATAATAAAATTTGCTACAACTTTTATCCTAAATGTTTTTTTGTAACACCCTTCCATTTCCGCGTATTAGCTTTAATAACTTAAAAAAGCTACAGATTCATCAAATTTTCGTATCTATCTCGATATTGACGCATCTAATAGCAAAAGTGCAAGAGAGCAATATTGTTAAGAATAAAATTTGCTACAACTTTTGTTCTTAAAGTTTTTTTATAACATGTTACGATTTCCGAGTGTAACCTTTAATGACTTGAAAAAGCAATAAATTCATCAAATTTTCATATTTTCCTATCTATCTCGATATTGACGCATCTAAGAGCAAAAATGCAAAAGAGCAATATTGTTAACAATAAAATTTGCAACAATTTTTGTTCTAAAAGTTCTTTTGTAACATACTTAGATTTCTAACCGTTACCTTTAATGACTTGAAAAAGCAATAAATTCATCAAATTCTCATATTTTCGTATCTATCTCGATATTGACGCATCTAAGAGCAAAAGTGCAAGAGAGCAATATTGTTAACAATAAAATTTGCAACAATTTTTGTTATAAAAGTTTTCTTATAGCAAGCTCCGATTCTCAACTGTTACCTGTAATAACTTGAAAGAGCAACAAATTCATAAAATTTTTATATTTTCATATCTATCTTGATATTGACGCATCTAATAGTAAAAGTGCAAGAGAGCAATATTGTTAACAATAAAATTTGCAACAATTTTTGTTATAAAAGTTTTCTTATAGCATACTCCGATTCCCAAACGATACCTTTAATATCTTGAAAAATGAACAAATTTTTCAAATTTTCATATTTTCCTATCTATCTCGATATTGACGCATCTAAAAGCAAAAGTGCAAGAGAGCAATATTGTTGACAATAAAATTTGCTACAACTTTCGTTCTAAAAGTTTTTTTATAACATGCTACGATTTCCGAGTGTTATCTTTAATGACTTGAAAAAGCAATAAATTCATCAAATTTTCATATTTTCCTATCTATCTCGATATTGACGCATCTAAGAGCAAAAATGCAAGAGAGCAATATTGTTAACAATAAAATTTGCAACAATTTTTGTTCTAAAAGTTCTTTTGTAACATGCTTTGATTTCTAAGCGTTACCTTTAATGGCTTGAAAAAGCAATAAATTCATAAAATTTTCATATTTTTGTATTTTTCTCGATATTGACGCATCTAAGAGCAAAAGTGCAAGAGAGCAATATTGTTAACAATAACATTTGCAACAATTTTTGTTATAAAAGTTTTCCTATAGCATACTCCGATTCCCAAACGTTACCTATAATATCTTCAAAAATAAACAAATTTTTCAAATTTTCATATTTTTGTATTTTTCTCGACATTGACGTATCTAAGAGCAAAAGTGCAAGAGAGCACTATTGTTAACAATAAAATTTGCAACAATTTTTGTTATAAAAGTTTTCTTATAGCACACTCCGATTCCCAAACGTTACCTTTAATATCTTGAAAAAAACAAATTTTCATATTTTCGTATCTATCTCGATATTGACGTATCTAAGAGCAAAAGTGCAAGAGAGCAATATTGTTAACAATAAAATTTGCGACAATTTTTGTTATAAAAATTTTCTTATAGCAAGCTCCGATTCTCAAGTGTTACCTTTAATAACTTGAAAGAGCAACAAATTCATAAAATTTTCATATTTTCGTATCTATCTCGATATTGACGTATCTAAGAGCAAAAGTACAAGAGAGCAATATTGTTAACAATAAAATTTGCAACAATTTTTGTTCTAAAAGTTCTTTTGTAACACGCTCTGATTTCTAAGCGTTATCTTTAATAATTTGTAAAAGAAACAAATTCTGAAAATGAGTCCCAAGGAAACAATCACTATATATCAAAATAGAATTAATAATATCAATAATAAATAAAATCGAGGAAATTACCTCTATCAAATCAAACGGAATAAAATCGTGTCAACAATAAGATAGCCTCAAACGTCAAAAATCAAATTTTAATTAAAACAAGCAAATAAATCTTAATTTAAAGAAAATTTGTTAACAAAAACTTTAATAAAGCGATTTAAAATCATTAATTAATAAAAATTGTGTTAAAATCGCCCCAAAAAATATTATAATAATATAGTTGCGCCATCTAGTAGTAAGAGACAGAAGAACGATGACTGTCATTGTCAGTTATCTTAACAATAGATTTCAGACGTAGTTATAAGAAGTTCTATAAGTTACATTTTAATAAACGATTTAAAATTAAAGTGCTAATAGTTACTCAGTGTTATATCTATAAACTTATAACGTACAAACGTAATAAAACCGTAAGTCATAACAATAAGATAACCTAAAACGTCAAAAATTAAATTTCAATTAAAACAATAAAATTAATGTTATATTAAAGTAAAGTTGTTAACAAAAACTTTAATTAACGCGAATAAAACGAATTAAAATCATTAATTAATAAAAATTATGGCAAAATTGTTATAAGTGTTATAAGTTATAACCAAACGATGTTTTCTAGTAATTTTTGTTTATTTGATGTTGGCGGAATTGAAAATCGGCCATGTTGACAATTTAAGTTTTGGCGTGAAAACTGTCAAATTTAAATTTGATGTTTTTAAGTTGTGGAAAATAAAATAGAATTAGAAATAAGCTCCGAAAAAGAACAGAAGAGATTCAACGAAGTTCTTATAAGCATAAAATATAATTATTAATGAAGTTTTCCGAAATAATGGGTTTTATACTTTGTTGTTATTCAAGATGCATCTTAGGCTACGTTCAAATAATGTCAAGGACTAAAACGTACTTTTTAACATATTATACGTTTGAATGTTAAGTTTAATGCTTCAAGAATTGGTTAATAATTTGTGGGAAATGACATTAAATCCTTTAAAATGAGACCAAATACGACCACTTTATCTTAAAAACTGTCAAAGTGACATAAAATGTCACTCCGCCATTTTTAATTCAACATATATCGATTTATTTGTCATTTTTAAAGAAAACCTAGCCGTTTTAGGCTTATATTAAAGGGTTTTGGGTGCGGAATTTAAAGAAAACTTAAGGATTTGTAAGCCGCCATTTTGATATTGATCAAATTTTGCGATCAATAAAAAAATATTTTTAATTTTTATTAACACCATCTTATTGAGGATGAAAAATCATTTAAAATGAGCTCAAACACGACCACTTTATCTAAAAAACTGTCTAAGTGACATAAAATGTCATTCCGCCATTTTGGATTTAGACATTTTGAATTTTTAAAAATAAAGTAGTGGTGTTTGGACTTATTTTAAAGGGTTTTCGATCAAGAATTTAATGAAAAGGTTTAAAGAAAAATTAATAAAATGTAATTCGCCATTTTGAAATTGATTATGATCAAGAAATAAACTTTTTTTCAATTTTTTTAATATCAACTTGCTGAAAATGAAAGATCCTTCAGTATAAGCCCAAATTCGACCAGTTTATGTTTCAACATCTGTCAAAGTGACAAGGACTCATAACAATAACATAACCTCAAACGTCAAAAATCTAATTTTAATTAAGATAACAAAATAAGTCTTAAAATAAGGTAAATTTGTTAACCAAATCTTTAATTAATGTTAATAAATGTATTTAAAATGTTTAAATCGTCCCAAAAATTGTAAAAAACTGAAATTTTCTAATAGTTTTTGTTTATTTAGTGTTGGCGGAATTGAAATCAGCCATTTTGACTGTCAAATTTAATTTATATTTATTTACTCCCTATATCCCAAATTTCCCATTAAAAATCCGTTAATTTAATACCAAACTCGACATATTTCCGTTAAAAATTAAAAAAAGTTAGCTTAAGAACTGTCAACTGTCAAATTTTTTTTGTTTAATTCATATATCAGCAACAAATAAAGGTAAATACATCGAGTTTGGACTCATTTTAAAGCATTTTTCGTTTTCTTTCGTTTCCCAACATCTATTTTGAATAAAAAAATTATTTTAAAAAATTAACGATTTAAGGACATAAAAAAAGAAGGTAATCTTAAAGATCATTAAAACTCCGTTAATTTAATACCAAACTCGACATATTTCCGATAAAAATTAAAAAAGTTAGGTTAAGAACTGTCAACTGTCAAATTTTTTTTGTTTAATTGATATATTAACAATAAATTAAGGTAAACACATCGTGTTTGGACTCATTTTAAAGCATTTTTANAAAATATAATTATTAATGAAGTTTTCCGAAATAATGGGTTTTATACTTTGTTGTTATTCAAGATGCATCTTAGGCTACGTTCAAATAATGTCAAGACTAAACCGTACTTTTTAACATATTATATGCTTCAAGAATTGGTTAATAATTTGTGGGAAATGACGTTAAATCCTTTAAAATGAGATCAAATACGACCACTTTGTCTTAAAAACTGTCAAAGTGACAAAAAATGTTATTCCGCCATTTTGAATTTAAAATTTCTCTATTTTGAATAAAAAAATTATCTAAAAAAACTAACGATTTAAGGATATAACAAAAAACGTAATCTTAAAGATCATTAAAAATCAGCTAATTTAATACCAAACTCGACATATTCCGTTAAAAATTAAAAAAGTTAGGTTAAGAACTGTCAACTGTCAAATTTTTTTGTTTAATTGATATATCAACAATAAATAAAGGTAAATAAATCGAGTTTGGACTCATTTTAAAGCATTTTTAGTTTTCTTTCATTTCCCAACATCTATTTTGAATAAAAAAATTATCTAAACAAACCAACGATTTAAGCATGTAACAAAGAACGTAAGCTTAGAGATCATTAAAAATCCGTTAATTTGATACCAAACTCGATGTATTTCCGTTAAAAATTAAAAAAGTTAGGTTAAGAACTGTCAACTGTCAAATTTTTTTGTTTAATTGATATATCAGTAACAAATAAAGGCAAATACATCGAGTTTGGACTCATTTTAAAGCATTTTTAGTTTCCTTTCATTTCCCAACATCTATTTTGAATAAAAAAATTATCTGAAAAAACCAACGATTTAAGGATATAACAAAGAACGTAATCTTAAAGATCATTAAAAATCCGTTAATTTAATACCAAACTCGACATATTTCCGGTAAAAATTAAAAAAGTTAGGTTAAGAACTGTCAACTGTCAAATTTTTTTTGTTTAATTGATATATTAACAATACATAAAGGTAAATACATCGAGTTTGGACTCATTTTAAAGCATTTTTAGTTTCCTTTCATTTCCCAACATCTATTTTGTATAAAAAAATTATTTAAAAAAATTAACGATTTAAGGATATAAATAAAGAAGGTAATCTTAAAGACCATTAAAAATCCTTTAATTTAATACCAAACTCGATGTATTTCCGTTAAAAATTAAAAAAGTTAGGTTAAGAACTGTCAACTGTCAAATTTTTTTTGTTTAATTGATATATCAACAATAAATACAGGTAAATACATCGAGTTTGGACTCATTTTAAAGCATTTTTAGTTTCCTTTCATTTCCCAACATCTATTGTGAATAAAAAAATTATTAAAAAAAACCAACGATTTAAGGATATAACAAAGAACGTAATCTTAAAGATCATTAAAAATCCGTTAATTTAATACCAAACTCGACATATTTCCGTTAAAAATTAAAAAAGTTAGGTTAAGAACTGTCAACTGTCAAATTTTTTTTTGTTTAATTTATATATCAATGATAAATAAAGGTAAATACATCGAGTTTGGATTCATTTTAAAGCATTTTTGATTTTCTTTCATTTCCCAACATCTATTTTGAATAAAAAAATTATTTAAAAAAAACTAACGATTTAAGGACATAAAAAAAGAAAGTAATCTTAAAGATCATTAAAAGTCCGTTAATTTAATACCAAACTCGACATATTTCCGATAAAAATTAAAAAAGTTAGGTTAAGAACTGTCAACTGTCAAATTTTTTTTGTTTAATTGATATATTAACAATAAATTAAGGTAAACACATCGTGTTTGGACTCATTTTAAAGCATTTTTAGTTTTCTTTCATTTCCCAACATCTATTTTGAATAAAAAATTATTTAAAAAAAACTAACGATTAAAGGGGGAGTATTTATTTAATTTATTTTAAAATAAAGTTTAGTACTTACATATCCATCATCGGAGACTTTAAATTTTTATCCAAATTCCCATTTTTATCCTTTCCATTAACATCCAATTCATCTTTTTGATTCGATTTGTTTTCGCAATCCGCGCAATCACCCGCTCCAACCGGAAGTGTCATTTCCTTCGTTCCCCCGTTAGTTGAGATGGAAAAATCGTCCTTCGAAGCCCTCCTTTTCAACAAATTATCGAAAGAAGTCGTCAGCGATCTCTTCGCCTTCATAAAAATCGTATTTCCAGCAACTCCCCCGCCGCCGATCCCCAAATATTGATTTAAAAATTCAGTTCGATTCTCGATGGAATCGTGGACGTGTCGGCCTTGTTTCATCTCGCAATGTGCCCTTAATAACATCATCAACAATTCGTTTTGGTCGCGAATCGAATCGGTTTCAACGCCGCGGTATTTTGTTAAGATTATTGTTTGCTCTTCTTCGTCTAATTGTTCGATTCTGCGATTTAAAATAAAATTTTATCGGTTAAATTAATTTGTGTTTAATAATTACCTCCTTATAATTGCCCCTTGGGTTTTTTTATCGGATAAATTCTCGATTTCGCAACATAATTTGTGGAACCAAACCATGGGGCAATGTTCGCAGGAAACGATCGTTGGTTTCGGTTTGTTTTCTACGCTGTTAAAAGATTGCGTAATCGCTAAAATAAAACAATAATTAGAAAATTGGTGTTAATTTAAAACGATTTAATTCAAAATTTACCACCAACTACTTCTGTAGATATCGATTGTGATTCGCATTTAAAAACATAACCGATAAAAGTGCCCAAATTGTTTCCTTCTTTTGAAACGAACCCGAAATGTTGCGAATTTTTAACTCCTCGCACGCAAGTTGTGATGTCTTTGTGATGTTTTTGTAATAAAATCACTTTTCTATCGGGGCTAATTAATCGTAAATCGGTCCTGTCGATTTGAAGAACCATCGTGCGGTTGTGATCATCGATTTTGGGTAAAATTGTTCGTTCTTTTGGGTTAAAATTTTTATCGAAACTCGCGTTATTATCGTTTTCATTCGTTTTTACATTCTCTAAAGTTGTACAATCAACGTCAGGCGATTTTAAGCCGATATCGGCTACAACCGATTGCGATCGCTGTAATAAATGGGGTCCTTTTACGAAAGAATCGTTTTTTTCGTTATGAATATCAACGGATCCGCGGCGAATAAACGATTCGCTTCGGAGTTTCTCCAAGCGTTTGCGTGCCTTCTCCAAATCGTGTGCTTTGAACTTTTCTAAAGCGTCGTCGATGAATGTATCGGGAACCTTTTTGTTCCATACCTTTATTTTACCAATATACAAAACCTAAAATGAAAATAATTCAACGTTTATTAAAAATTTATCGAATCGAAACAAAATTTATTAAAATATGAATAAAAATTCGTAATCTAGATTAAAAATGCTTTAAAATGAGTCCAAACTCGATGGGGTTATCTTTAAAAACAACCAAGATACGATTGATTTAAAAATATTTTGACAGGTGATTCTCAATTGTTTTTTATTCATTTTTAGTTTGTAACTTTTTTGTTTTTTAAGATAACCCCATCGTGTTTGGACTCATTTTAAAGGATTTCTAATTCCCAACAACCCGAAAACAACGACAACCCAAAATAATCATTTTTACGATCACTTCCGGTTTCTAAATTGAGACATTTTTGAGATAAATATTTTTGTTTTATTAATTCTTTAATAATTGAGGATAACATAAGAAAAGAAATCAAGGAATTCATGAATTAAATTAATTATTAAAGTTATAGAAAAAAGAAATCAAATTAAAATCAAAATTTACTAAATTATGAATAAAATTTCGTAATGTAGATTAAAAATGCTTTAAAATGAGTCCAAACTCGATGGGGTTATCTTTAAAAACAACTAAGATATGATTGATTTAAAAATATTGTGACAGGTGATTCTCAATTGTTTTTTATTCATTTTTAGTCTGTAACTTTTTTGTTTTTTACGATAACCCCATCGTGTTTGGACTCATTTTAAAGGATTTTTAATTTCCTACAACCCGAAAACAACGACAACCCAAAAGTAATCATTTTTACGATAACTTCCGGTTTCTAAATCGAGAAATTTTTGAGATAAATATTTTTGTTTTATTAATTTTTTAATAATTAAAGATAGCATAAGAAAAGAAATCAAGGAATTCATGAATTAATTATTAAAAAGTTATAGTAAAAAAGAAATCAAATTAAAATCAAAATTTACTAAATTATGAATAAAATTTCGTAATGTAGATTAAAAATGCTTTAAAATGAGTCCAAACTCGATGGGGTTATCTTTAAAAACAACTAAGATATGATTGATTTAAAAATATTTTGACAGGTGATTCTCAATTGTTTTTATTCATTTTTAGTTTGTAACTTTTTTGTTTTTTAAGATAACCCCATCGTGTTTGGACTCATTTTAAAGGATTTTTAATTCCCTACAACCCAAAAATAACGACAACCCAAAATAACCATTTTTACGATCACTTCCGGTTTGTAAATAGAGAAATTTTTGAGATAAATATTTTTGTTTTATTAATTTTTTATTAATTGAAGATGAGATAAGAAAAGAAATCAAGGAATTCATGAATTAATTATTAAAAAGTTATATAAAAAAGAAATCAAATTAAAATCAAAAATTATTAAATTATGAATAAAAATTTGTAATCTAGATTAAAAATGCTTTAAAATGAGTCCAAACTCGATGGGGTTATCTTCAAAGACAACTAAGATATGACTGATTTAAAAATATTTTGACAGGTGATTCTCAATTGTTTTTTATTCATTTTTAGTTTACAACTTTTTTGTTTTTTAAGATAACCCCATCGTGTTTGGACTCATTTTAAAGGATTTTTAATTCCCTACAACCCAAAAACAACGACAACCCAAAATAACCATTTTTACGATCACTTCCGGTTTCTAAATCGAGACATTTTTGAGACAAATATTTTTATTTTTTTAAATAAATCAAGGAATTCTTGAATTAAATTAATATATATATTATTATATATATATATTATTATATATATATATTATTATATATATATAATTATATATATATAATAATATATATATATAATAATATATATATATAATAATATATATATTAATTTAATTCAAGAATTCCTTGATTTATTTAAAAAAATAAAAATATTTGTCTCAAAAATGTCTCGATTTAGAAACCGGAAGTGATCGTAAAAATGGTTATTTTGGGTTGTCGTTGTTTTTGGGTNAATTCATTTTTAGTTTGTAACTTTTTTGTTTTTTAAGATAACCCCATCGTGTTTGGACTCATTTTAAAGGATTTTTAATTCCCTACAATTTTAAAATAGCAAAAACCCAAAATGTTAAATTTCAAATTTTAAACCGCCATTTTGGAAGATTGAATGACACTTGGAAATAAAAAATAAGTTGAACTTGTTCAAAAAATCATAATCTTTAATATGAGTTAAATTACTCCATATACAAACCGAAAGTGAATGAAAAAAGTAGTACTAACACAAGAACTAGGATCAATCAGGCTTAGCCATACTGAAAAACGTGCGGGTAAACTCCGAATTAAAAAATAGAGTATAGATATAAAATTTACCTCGAAAAAGTTGCTTGAACTTGGAGAAATGTCCACAGGTAAAGTTGTTAGATTAGAACCATTGTTGTTTGATTTCGAGGAAGAAGTTGGGGTTAAAGAGGTTGTGTTTTCTTTCATTTGTTGATATAAATCGATAACCTAAAAAAAAAAAAAAAAAACAATAATATAATAAGTATAAATAAAAATCGATTATTCGTTATTAAAATGTTTATTTGAAAGAAACCAAGGTTGAAGAATTAAAGAATTAAATTCCATCCACGTGTTACGTCGCAATAAATGTTTAATTACTTACTTAATCAAGATAAACAAAAAAGATTAATAACATTTTCACTTTAAATAAAGGCTTAAACTCTCGTTACGATTTAATATTGAATAGGAGTAGTTTTTTTGGCAACTACGACGTTTAAGAAACGTTTGGGACGTTTAAAAGTTAAAAATAAAAACTAGAAAATAACATGTGTCATGTTTTTCGCACTCGGTTTATCTCGGTAAAGTAATTGAGTCTGTTTCAATTTAGTTAGTAATAATAATAACGAAGAAATCAATGATGTAGTAAACATTTGGATGGGTTTATAGTTCAAATTAATCTTTTTAACGATGACGTTACTAGAAAATGTTTAGAACAGAAATATTTATAGAAAAATATTTATAAAAGAATGTTTATAAAAATAAAATAATAGAAAAATAACTAAATTGTGGACATTCTTTGTAAGTGATAAAAAAACAATGTTTAATAATAACTGTTTGTTGGTTTTAATCGATGGGGAATTAAAAAACGAGTTTTGGTTAAAAATTGTTGGAGTTATTTAAATAAAAAAATAAATTATGACAGTTGTAAATGACAGTTTGAGGTTATGGCATTTTTTTTTTAAATAAAATAGTNTCAAAATTGTTTTTTACTTGGTTTTAATCGATAAGAAATTAAAACCCGATTAATTTAAGCCCAAACACGATATATTTCGATTAAAAATTGTAAGAGATATCAATAATAATAAAAAACAAAGATGGCGGTTAATAATTGACAGCTTTGAGGTTATGATAAACATATTTTAACTAAAATATGGGTTGTTGGGTATCAAATTAAAGGGTTTTAAATTCTTATTTCAAATTTGAAATTATTTTTAAAATTTGGATTTAAAAAAAAAATTAAAAATGTCAAAATTGTTTTTTGCTTGGTTTTAATCGATAAGAAATTAAAACCCGATTAATTTAAGCCCAAACACGATATATTTCGATTAAAAATTGTAAGAAATATTAATAAAAATAAAAAAGAAAGATGGCGGTTATTTTTGACAGCTTTGAGGTTATGATAAATATTTTTTAACTAAAATATGGGTTGTTGGGTATCAAATTAAAGGGTTTTAATTTCTTATTTCAAATTTTAAGTTATTTTTAAAATTTGGATCTAAAAAAAAATTGAAAATATTAAAATTGTTTTTTGTTTGGTTTTAATCGATAAGAAATTAAAACCCGATTAATTTAAGTCCAAACACGATGTGTTTCGATTGAAAATTGTAAAAGATACTAATGAAAATAGAGAAGAAAGATGGCGGTTATTTTTGACAGCTTTGAGGTTATTGTTCAAAGTTTTTATAATTTATATATTAGTCGGCTGTTCCGTATTTTATTCGTTATTGTTATTCAGTTGTTCTCACGAGTTGTTGTAGTTGACATCAAAAAGCGTAATAAATCGTTCCGTGTAATTTTCGTTAAAAAGTGGTTTCAATCGTGTTAATACACACGTTCGATAGAAGCACTTCGGCTTTTATTTGCTATTCGAAGAGATACTTCTACTTATTCTACAAGAACAGTAAGATTTTTCCTTTTTGACAGTTTTTTTCTAACCCCCGCGTTTTTAAGTAACTTTCTATAAGCGTCTCAGATTTTTCCCGCGCCGGTCTCGACTATTTCTTAACAGTTATGTTAAACATTTTTTAACTAAAATATGGGTTGTTGGGTATCAAATTAAAGGGTTTTAATTTCTTATTTCAAATTTTAAGTTATTTTTAAAATTTGGATTTAAAAAAAATTGAAAATATTAAAATTGTTTTTTGTTTGGTTTTAATCGATAAGAAATTAAAACCCGATTAATTTAAGCCCAAACACGATATATTTCGATTAAAAATTGTAACAGATATCAATAATAATAAAAAACAAAGATGGCGGTTAATAATTGACAGCTTTGAGGTTATGTTAAACATTCTTTAAGTAAAATATGGGTAGTTGGGTATCAAATTAAAGGGTTCTAATTTCTTATTTCAAATTTTAAGTTATTTTTAAAATTTGGATGTAAAAAAAAAAAATTGAAAATATCATAATTGTTTTTTACTTGGTTTTAATCGATAAGAAATTAAAACCCGATTAATTTAAGTCCAAACACGATGTGTTTTGGTTAAAAATTGTAAAAAATAATAATAAAAATTAAAAAGAAAGATGGCGGTCATTTTTGACAGTTTTGAGGTTATGATAAACATTTTTTAACTAAAATATGGGTTGTTGGGTATCAAATTAAAGGGTTTTAAATTCTTATTTCAAATTTCAAATTATTTTTAAAATTTCGATCTAAAAAAAAATTGAAAATATCAAAATTGCTTTTTACTTGGTTTTAACCGATAAGAAATTAGAACCCGATTAATTTAAGCCCAAACACGATGTGTTTCGATTAAAAATTGTAAGAAATATTAATAAAAATAAAAAAGAAAGATGGCGGCTATTTTTGACAGCTTTGAGGTTATGATAAATATTTTTTAACTAAAATATGGGGTGTGGGGTATTAAATTAAAGGGTTTTAAATTCTTATTTCAAATTTTAAGTTATTTTTAAAATTTGGATCTAAAAAAAAATTGAAAATTGTTTTTTACTTGATTTTAATCGATAAGAAATTAAAACACGATTAATTTGAGTCCAAACACGATATATTTCGATTAAAAATTGTAAGAGACATCAATAATAATATAAAACAAAGATGGCGGTTAATAATTGACAGCTTTGAGGTTATGTTAAACATATTTTAACTAAAATATGGGTTGTGGGGTATCAAATTAAAGGGTTTTAAATTTTTATTTCAAATTTTAAGTTATTTTTAAAACTTCAATTAAAAAAAAATTGTTTTTGGTTAGTTTTATTCGATAAGAAATTAAACCCCGATTAATTTGAGTCTAAACACGACGTGTTTTGATTAATAGTTGTCAAAGATATTAATAAAAATGAAAAAGAAAGATAGCGGTTATTTTTGACAGCTTTGAGGTTATAATAAACATTTTTGAACTAAAATATGGGTTGTGGGGTATCAAATTGTAGCATTTTTAATTCCTATTACGAATGCAATAATTGAAATTAATTAAAGTAATTAAAAAAAAAATTTTAACATTTAAAATTAATTCTAAATGTGTCAAGTTTTTATGTAAATTCATATTTACGTTTAAAACGACCAAAGGAAATCTTAAAATAGATCCCTCATCTAATTTTAAATTTAAAATTAGATGAAAAACTTTGCCAAAAATTTTAGTTTACCTCGCGTTTTCCACAAGAAAACACAAAAAATGGTCTCGTTTACCCAAAGTTTTTTCTCGATCGTCGTTCTCACCTCAGTTTATAGTTACCCGAAACTTTCAATTCTCCAAAAAATCCGGCAAGATCAAAACTTAACAACGTTCTCGAAACTCCTGGAATTAACGGCTTTAAGCAAAAACAGCTTATATTACAGTGAAGTGACCGTTTTCGCCGCAACAAACGAAGCTTTCAACAAATTCCCCGGAAAAGTTAACACCAACTTAACGAATTACCACATGGTTTACTCAGTTTATAAATTAAACGAGTTAATCGATGGGAATTTAGAAAGCATTAATGCAGATTTCCCCCCTTTATGGGTCAAAAAACGGGATAACGAAATTTACGTGAACAACGCGATGATTTTGACGGAGAAATCGAATTATTTCGCGAAAAATATGCCGAGTAGATACGGAAAGGACCAAATTTTACACTTAATCGATGAAGTTTTAGACGGATCACTCAAAAAGATGGTTCTAAAAAACCCCACAGCTTACGATTTTTTAAACCAAACGCATTTATGGGGGAATTACGAAACGATTAAATTCTTCACGAAAATAATTTCGCATCATTGCGAGAATTATTTCAAAAAAGAGGGCGAATTCACGTTTTTTATCCCCCTCGATTCCGGGATTAACGAACAACGATTTAATTTAATCGATTCTTATATCATAAAGGGGCACATCATTAAAAATAAAGTTTTGTTCACTCGGGCTTCGCTTAAAGATCATTTTTACGATACTTTAACAAACGACAATTACATCCAAATCAAAATCGCGTTTTCACGATTTTTTGACTCGTTCCAAATTAAAAGTTCAACTTTAATCGGCGATACGAATCATTTAACCGGCGAAATCAAAGCGGAGATTTTAATCGCGAATATTCCGGTTAAAAACGGAGTTATTCACTTGATTAGTAAACCTTTGGGGGTTTTTGATGAGAAATTAAATAAATTTCCTTATTTGGATGTGTTCGATAAGTTCTCGATGGATCCTTATTTGAATGTGAGTTATTATTTGGGGTCGAGGAGCGGGTTTAATTTAAATTTGAAACAAAATTTGAGTAAAAAGAAGTTTACGTTTTTTATCCCGCGAGATTTTGCGTGGAAATTAATCGAAACTGACGTTTTGATGCATCCGTCTCATTTGGAGCTGGTCAAAACGATTCTTTCGCGGCATTTAATCGTTAGTGATGTTCCCTATTTTATGGATTCTTTGGTTGATGGGTCAAAAGATGGTTGTATGTTTTTGAACACCCCAAATGGGAAGATTTGTTTCGGAGCTGCGAAAGATGAGAATTTCGATGGGAAATTCTACGTGATTTGGAACGGGATTTATGTTGAGGTGTATCGCGCTGATTATGAGTGCAAAAATGGGATTGTTCATGTTATTGATCGGCCGTTTATGACTGGGGATGAAATCGAAAAGGTTTTGAATGAAAAAAAGGATGGGGGAGGAGTGCTTAAGTTGTGGGGGGCCGTTTTAAGCTTAATTTTTTCGAAAAAGAATTAATTTTTACTTACATCGGAGTTCTTGGAAGCTTGGAATAAGTAGCAAAATAATAATTGGTCCGTCTCATCGCGGAGGAGATAAAGGAAAGTGCTTGGATCGAGATCGGCTTGGGAGAATCGCGTCATCCGGTTGAGTTTGTGCGAAAATTGGATCTCAAAATCCGAATTATAAGCTTGGAGATTCCCATCTTCAACTCCCAAACTTAGCTGAAATCAAAAAAAAAATAAATTAATTAAAAATCACCCAATCTATTTTATTTTATTAATTTGACACCTTAACGTCAATTTGAACGTTAACTTTTCCCATTATTTTTTTTTATGTGCATTTTTTGTGTTGTTTTTATTCCCATTAATGTACGTGATTTATTTATTTATTTATTTTCACTTTAATCCGTTATTTTTGATTGATTTTTATTTCAAAATTAACCTCGATCATATTTTTTGTAAAAATGAGTTTCGAGCGGGTCGCGAATTCGCCCTGTACGGACCTTTACTGCCAAAGACGCAACATCGATTCGATCCGTTCGACCCGAATCGCGCACCACTCCGATTTACCAAAACTGAGAGATTTGGTTCAAGTTGAAACTACGATGATGTTTGGGCAGATTGATATCGATAGAATCTTGTAAGTTATTTTAAAAAAAATTTTTGTTAGCTTTAATCGCTAGGAAATTAAAATACGATTAATTTAAGTCCAAACACGACCTATTTCGGTTAAAAATTGAACAAGATATCAATAAAAATAAAAAAGAAAGATGGCGGTTGATTTTGACAGCTTTGAGGTTATGNACCCCACAGCTTACGATTTTTTAAACCAAACGCATTTATGGGGGAATTACGAAACGATTAAATTCTTCACGAAAATAATTTCGCATCATTGCGAGAATTTTTTTATCCCCCTCGATTCCGGGATTAACGAACAACGATTTAATTTAATCGATTCTTATATCATAAAGGGGCACATCATTAAAAATAAAATTGAAAATATCAAAATTGTTTTTTATTTGGTTTTAATCGATAAGAAATTAAAACCCGATTAATTTAAGTCCAAACACAATATATTTCGATTAAAAATTGTAAGAGATATCAATAATAATAAAAAACCAAGATGGCGGTTAATAATTGACAGCTTGATGATTGAGGTTATGTTAAACATATTTTAACTAAAATATGGGTTGTTGGGTATCAAATTAAAGGGTTTTAAATTCTTATTTCAAATTTTAGGTTATTTTTAAAATTTGTAATTAAAAAAAAATTGAAATCATTAAAATTTTTTTTTGCTCGGTTTTAATCAATAGGAAATTAAAACCCGATTAATTTAAGGCCGGCCAAACACGATGTGTTTTGATTAAAAATTGCAAAAGATATCAATAATAATAAAAAACAAAGATGGCGGTTAATAATTGACAGCTTTGAGGTTATGTTAAACATATTTTAACTAAAATATGGGTTGTTGGGTATCAAATTAAAGAGTTTTAAATTTTTATTTCAAATTTTAAGTTATTTCTAAATTTTGGATAAAATAAAAAATTGAAAAAATAAAATTTTTTTTTGCTTGATTTTAATCGATAAGAAATTAAAACCCAATTAATTTAAGCCCAAACACGATGTGTTTCGATTAAAAATTGTAAGAAATATTAATAAAAATAAAAAAGAAAGATGGCGGTTATTTTTGACAGCTTTGAGGTTATGATTAACATTTTTTAATTAAAATATGAGTTGTTGGGTATCAAATTAAAGGGTTTTAAATTTTTATTTCAAATTTTAAGTTATTTTTAAAATTTCGATCTAAAGAAAATTGAAAATATCAAAATTGTTTTTTTACTTGGTTTTAATCGATAAGAAATTAAAACCCGATTAATTTAAGTCCAAACACGATGTGTTTCGATTAAAAATTGTAAGAGATATCAATAATAATAAAAAACAAAGATGGTGGTTATTTTTGACAGCTTTAAGGTTATGTTAAACATTCTTTAATTAAAATATGGGTTGTGGGATATCAAATTAAAGGGTTTTAAATTCTTATTTCAAATTTTAAATTATTTTTAAAATTTGGATTTAAAAAAAAAATTAAATATGTCAAAATTGTTTTTTGCTTGGTTTTAATCGATAAGAAATTAAATCCTAATTAATTTAAGTCCAAATAATATGTATTTCGATTAAAAATTGTAAGAGATATCAATAAAAATAAAAAAGAAAGATGGCGGTTATTTTTGACAGCTTTGAGGTTATGATAAACATTTTTTAACTAAAATATGGGTTGTTTGGTATCAAATTAAAGGGTTTTAAATTCTTATTTCAAATTTTTTATTGTTTTTAAAATTTTAAGGAAATTTGAATTGATAAAAATTAAAAATCATAAAAATTTTTCTGCTTGGTTTTAATCGATAAGAACTGAAAACGCGATTAATTTAAGTCCAAACACGATACATTTCGATTAAAAAGTGTAGGAGATATGAATAAAAATAAAAAAGAAAGATGGCGGTTGTTTTTGACAGCTTTGAGGTTATGATGACTATTTTTTAACTAAAATATGGGTTGTTTGGTATCAAATTAAAGGGTTTTAAATTATTATTACAAATTTTTTATTGTTTTTAAAATTTTAAGGAAATTTGAATTGAAAAAAATTGAAAATCATAAAAATTTTTCTGCTTGGTTTTAATCGATAAGAAATGAAAACGCGATTAATTTAAGTCCAAACACGATACATTTCGGTTAAAAATTGAACAAGATATCAATAAAAATAAAAAAGAAAGATGGCGGTTGATTTTGACAGCTTTGAGGTTATGATGAACATTTTTTAACTAAAATATGGGTTGTTTGGTATCAAATTAAAGGGTTTTAAATTCTTATTTCAAATTTTTTATTGTTTTTAAAATTTTAAGGAAATTTGAATTAAAAAAAATTGAAAATCATAAAAATCTTTCTGCTTGGTTTTAATCGATAAGAAATGAAAACGCGATTAATTTAAGTCCAAACACGATACATTTCGGTTAAAAATTGAACAAGATATCAATAAAAATAAAAAAGAAAGATGGCGGTTGTTTTTGACAGCTTTGAGGTTATGATGATTATTTTTTAACTAAAATATGGGTTGTTTGGTATCAAATTAAAGGGTTTTAAATTTTTATTTCAAATTTTTTATTGTTTTTAAAATTTTAAGGAAATTTGAATTAAAAAAAAATAAAAATCATAAAAATTTTTCTGCTTGGTTTTAATCGATAAGAAATGAGAACGCGATTAATTTAAGTCCAAACACGACCTATTTCGGTTAAAAATTGAACAAGATATCTATAAAAATAAAAAAGAAAGATGGCGGTTGTTTTTGACAGCTTTGAGGTTATGATGACTATTTTTTAACTAAAATATAGGTTGTGGGGTACCAAATTACTCGGTTTTAAATTCTTATTTCAATTTTTAAGTTATTTATTAAATTTAAAAATTAATAAAAATTTTGAAATTTTTAACTTGGTTTTAATCCATCAGAAATTAACACCCGATTAATTTAAGTCTAAACACGACGTATTTTAGTTAACAATTGCAAAAATAAAGAAAGATGGCGATTATTTTTGACAGCTTTGAGGTTATGATAAGCATTTTTTAATTAAAATATGGGTAGTGGGGTATCAAATTACTCGGTTTTAAATTCTTATTTCAATTTTAAAGTTATTTATTAAATTTTAATGACATTTAAAATTAATTAAAATTTTGATAATCACAAAAAAAATTTTAGTTTGGTTTTAATCGATAAGAAATTAAAACCCGATTAATTTAAATCCAAACATGATACATTTCGGTTAAAAATTGTAAGAGATATTATTAAAAATAGAAAAAAAAGATGGCGGCTATTTTTGACAGTTTTGAGGTTATGATAAGCATTTTTTAATTAAAATATGGGTTGTGGGGTATCAAATTACTCGGTTTTAAATTCTTATTTCAATTTTGAAGTTATTTATTAAATTTTAATGACATTTAAAATTAATTAAAATTTTGATAATCACAAAAAAAATTTTAGTTTGGTTTTAATCGATAAGAAATTAAAACCCGATTAATTTAAATCCAAACATGATACATTTCGGTTAAAAATTGTAAGAGATATTATTAAAAATAGAAAAAAAAGATGGCGGCTATTTTTGACAGTTTTGAGGTTATGATAAGCATTTTTTAATTAAAATATGGGTTGTGGGGTATCAAATTACTCGGTTTTAAATTCTTATTTCAATTTTGAAGTTATTTATTAAATTTTAATGACATTTAAAATTAATTAAAATTTTGATAATCACAAAAAAAATTTTAGTTTGGTTTTAATCGATAAGAAATTAAAACCCGATTAATTTAAATCCAAACATGATACATTTCGGTTAAAAATTGTAAGAGATATTATTAAAAATAGAAAAAAAAGATGGCGGCTATTTTTGACAGTTTTGAGGTTATGATAAGCATTTTTTAATTAAAATATGGGTTGTGGGGTATCAAATTACTCGGTTTTAAATTCTTATTTCAATTTTGAAGTTATTTATTAAATTTTAATGACATTTAAAATTAATTAAAATTTTGATAATCACAAAAAAAATTTTAGTTTGGTTTTAATCGATAAGAAATTAAAACCCGATTAATTTAAATCCAAACATGATACATTTCGGTTAAAAATTGTAAGAGATATTATTAAAAATAGAAAAAAAAGATGGCGGCTATTTTTGACAGTTTTGAGGTTATGATAAGCATTTTTTAATTAAAATATGGGTTGTGGGGTATCAAATTACTCGGTTTTAAATTCTTATTTGAATTTTTAAGTTATTTATTAAATTTAAAAATTAATAAAAATTTTAAAAACCTCAAAATTAATTTCAGCTTGTTTTTAATCGATAAGAAATTAAATCTCGATTAATTTAAGTCCAAACACGATGTATTTTAGATAAAAATTGCAAAGAACAACAAAAATAAAAAATTAAGATGGCGGTTATTTTTGACAGCTTTGAGGTTATGATAAACATTTTTTAACTAAAATATAGGTTGTGGGGCATCAAATTACTCAGTTTTAAATTCTTATTTTAATTTTTAAGTAATTTTTTAAATTTAAAAATTAAAGAAAATTTTGAAAATTGCAAAAAAATTTTAAACTTCTTTTTAATCGATAAGAAATTAAAACACGATTAATTTAAGCCCAAACACGATGTGTTTTGATTAAAAATTGCAAAAGATATTAATAAAAATGAAAAAGAAAGATGGCCGTTATTTTTGACAGCTTTGAGGTTATGATTAACATTTTTTAACTAAAATATGGGTTGTGGGGTATCAAATTAAAGGGTTTTAAATTCTCATTTCAAATTATAAGTTGTTTTTAAAATTTGAATTAAATAAAAAATTGAAAGTATCAAAATTTTTTTTGCTTGATTTTAATCGATAAGAACTTAAAACCCGATTAATTTAAGCCCAAACACGATGTGTTTCGATTAAAAACTGTAAAAGACATTAATAAAAAAAGGAAAAAGAAAGATGGCGGTTTTTTTTGACAGCTTTGGGGTTATGATTAACATTTTTTAACTAAAATATAGGTTGTGCGATATCAAATTATTCGTTTTTAAATTCTTATTTTAATTTTTAAGTAATTTATTAAATATAAAAATTAATAAAAAATTTGGAAAATCGCAAAAAAATTTTTAACTAATTTTTAATCAATAAGAAATTAAAACCCGATTAATTTAAGTCCAAACACGATACATTTCGGTTAAAAATTGTAAGAGATATTAATAAAAATAGAAAAGAAAGATGGCGGCTATTTTTGACAGCTTTGAGGTTATGACAAACTGTTTTTAACTAAAATATGGGTTGTTGGGTATCAAATTACTCGGTTTTAAATTCTTATTTCAATTTTTAAGTAATTTATTATACTTTAATGACATTTGCAATTTATTTATAATTAATGAATATCCTTTTTGCATTGTTTTAACGATAAGAAATTAAAACCCGATTAATTTAAGCACAAACAAGATATATTTTAAATAAAAATTGCAAAGATAACAGTAACAATAAAAAAGAAAGATGACGGTTATTAATTGACAGCTTTGAGGTTATGACAAACTGTTTTTAAGTAAAATATGGGTTGTTGGGTATCAAGTCACTCTGTTTTAAATTCTTATTTCAATTTTTAAGCAATTTATTAAATTTTAATGAAATTTGAAATTTATTAAAAATTAATACAAATTTTTTTGTATGGTTTTAATCGATAAGAAATTAAAATCCGATTAATTTAAGTCCAAACACGATGTATTTTAGATAAAAATTGCAAAGATAACACTAAAAATAAAAAAGAAAGATGGCGGTTATTTTTGACAGCTTTGAGGTTATGATAAACATTTTTAACTAAAATATGGGTTGTGGGGTATCAAATTAAAGGGTTTTAAATTCTTATTTCAAATTTTAAGTTATTTTTAAAATTTGGAATAAAAAAAAATTAATAAAAATACCAAAATTTTTTTTTGCTTATTTTTAATCGATAAGAAATTAAAATCCGATTAATTTAAGCCCAAACACGATATATTTCGGTTAAAAATTGAAGAAGATATCAATAAAAATAAAAAAGAAATATGGCGGTTGATTTTGACAGCTTTGAGGTTATGATGACTATTTTTTAACTAAAATATAGGTTGTGGGGTATCAAATTACTCGGTTTTAAATACTTATTTCAATTTTTAAGTTATTTATTAAGTTTAAAAATTAATAAAAATTTTGAAATTCCCAAAAAATTTTTTAACTTGGTTTTAATCCATCAGAAATTAACACCCGATTAATTTAAGTCTAAACACGACGTATTTTAGTTAACAATTGCAAAAATAAAAAAGAAAGATGGCGATTATTTTTGACAGCTTTGAGGTTATGATAACCTTTTTTTAATTAAAATATGGGTTGTGGGGTATCAAATTACTCGGTTTTAAATTCTTATTTCAATTCTGAAGTTATTTATTAAATTATAATGACATTTAAAATTTATTTAAAATTAATTAAAATTTTGAAAATAACAAAAAAACTTTTAGTTTGGTTTTAATCGATCAGAAATTTAAACCTGACTAATTTAAGTCCAAACACGATGTATTTCAGATAATAATTGCAAAGATAAAAATAAAAAAGAAAGATGGCGATTATTTTTGACAGCTTTAAGGTTATGATAAATATTTTTGAACCAAAATATGGGTTGTTGGGTATCAAATTACTCGGTTTTAAATTCTTATTTCAATTTCTAAGTTTTTAATTAAATTTAAAAATTAATAAAAATTTTGAAAACAACAATAAAATTTTTAACTTAGTTTTAATCCATAGGATATTAAAACCCGATCAATTTAAGTCCAAACACGATGTATTTCAGTTAAAAATTGTAAGAGATATTAATAAAAATAGGAAAGAAAGATGGCGGTTACTAATTGACAGCTTTGAGGTTATGATAAACATTTTTTAACTAACATATAGGTTGTGGGGTATCATATTACTCGGTTTTAAATTCTTATTTTAATTTTTAAGTTATTTATTAAATTTAAAAATTAATAAAAATTTTGACATATCGCAAACATTTTCTTAGCCTGTTTTTAATGGATAAGAAATTAAAACTCGATAAATTTAAGTCCAAACACGATACATTTCGGTTAAAAATTGTAAGAGATATTGATAAAAATAGAAAAGAAAGATGGCGGATATTTTTGACAGCTTTGAGGTTATGATTAACATTTTTTAACTAAAATATAGGTTGTGGGGTATCAAATTACTCGTTTTTAAATTCTTATTTTAATTTTTAAGTTATTTATTAAATTTAAAAATTAATAAAAATTTTGAAAACCACAACAAAATTTTTAGCTTGGTTTTAATCGATAAGATATTAGAACCCGATTAATTTAAACAGGATACATTTCGGTTAAAAATTGTAAGAGATATTAATAAAAATAGAAAAGAAAGATGGCGGTTACTAATTGACAGCTTTGAGGTTATGATTAACATTTTTTAATTAAAATATAGGTTGTGGGGTATTAAATTAAAGAGTTTTAAATTCTTATTTCAAATTTTAAGTTATTTTTAAAATTTGGAATAAAAAAAAGTTTATGAAAATATCAAAATTTTTTTTTGCTTGATTTTAATCGATAAGAAATTAATACCTGATTAATTTGAGTCTAAACACGATGTGTTTTGATTAAAAATTGAAAAACATATTGATAAAAATGAAAAAGTAAGATGGCGGTTATTTTTGACAGTTTTAAGGTTATGATAAACATTTTTGAACCAAAATATCGGTTGTGGGGTATCAAATTAAAGGGTTTTAAATTCTTATTTCAAATTTTAAGTTATTTTTAAAATTTGTAATTATAAAAAATTTATAAAAATATCAAAACTTTTCTTTTGCTTGGTTTTAATCGATAAGAAATTAAAACCTGATTAATTTAAGCCCAAACATGATGTGTTTAGATTAAAAATTGTAAAAGATATTAATAAAAATGAAAAAAAAAGATGGCGGTTATTTTTGACAGCTTTGAGGTTCTGATAAACATTTTTGAACCAAAATATGGGTTGTTGGGTATCAAATTAAAGGGTTTTAAATTCTTATTTCAAATTTTAAGTTATTTTTAAAATTTGGAATAAAAAAAAATTTATGAAAATATCAAAATATTTTTTTGCTTGATTTTTTAATCGATAAGAAATTAATACCCGATTAATTTGAGTCCAAACACGATGTGTTTTGATTAAAAATTGCAAAAGATATTAATAACAATGCAAAAGAAAGATAGCGGTTATTTTTGACAGCTTTGAGGTTATGATTTTGACATTTTTAACTAAAATATGGGATGTGAGGTATCAAATTACTCGGCTTTAAATTCATATTTCAATTTTTAAGTAATTTATTAAATTTTAATGAAATTTTAAATTTATTAAAAATTAATAAAAATCTTTTTGCACGATTTTAAACGATAAGAAATTAAAATCCGATTAATTTAAATCCAAACACGATGTGTTTTGATTAAAAGTTGCAAAAGATATTAATAAAAATGAAAAAGTAAGATGGCGGTTATTTTTGACAGTTTTGAGGTTATGATAAACATTTTTTAACTAAAATATGGGTTGTTGGGTATCAAATTAAAGGGTTTTAAATTCTTATTTCAAATTTCAAATTATTTTTAAAATTTCGATCTAAAAAAAAATTGAAAATATCAAAATTGCTTTTTANAATTTAAGTCCAAACACGATGTATTTTAGATAAAAATTGCAAAGATAACACTAAAAATAAAAAAGAAAGATGGCGGTTATTTTTGACAGCTTTGAAGTTATGATTAATATTTTTTAACTAAAATATGGGTTGTGGGGTGTCAAATTAAAGGGTTTTAAATTGTCATTTCAAATTTTAGGTTATTTTTAAAATTTGGATTCAAAAAAAAATTGAAAATTTTAAAAATTTTTCTGCTTGGTTTTAATCGAGAAGAAATTAAAACCCGATTAATTTAAGCCCAAACACGATGTGTTTCGATCAAAAATTGTAAGAAATATTAATAAAAATGAAAAAGAAAGATGGCGGTTATTTTTTTTGACAGCTTTGAGGTTATGATAAATATTTTTTAACTAAAATATGGGTTGTTGGGTATCATATTAAAGGGTTTTAAATTCTTATCTCAAATTTTAAGTTATTTTTAAAATTTCAATTAAAAAAAAAATTTTTTTTGGTTAGTTTTATTCGATAAAAAATTGAAACCCGATTAATTTGAGTCCAAACACGATGTGTTTCGATTAAAAATTGTAAAAGATACTGATAAAAATAGAAAAAAAAGATGGCGGTTATTTTTGACAGCTTTGAGGTTATGATAAACATTTTTTAACTAAAATATGGGTTGTGGGGTGTCAAATTAAAGGGTTTTTAATTTTTTATTTAAAATTTTAAGTTATTTTTAATATTTGGATCTAAAAAAAAATTGAAAATATTAAAATTGTTTTTTACTTGGTTTTAATCGATAAGAAATTAAAACCCGATTAATTTAAGTCCAAATTGTGTTTTGATTAAAAATTGTAAAAGATATTTATAAAAATGAAAAAGAAAGATGGCGGTTATTTTTGACAGCTTTGAGGTTATGATTAACATTTTTTAATTAAAATATGGGTTGTGGGGTATCAAATTAAAGGGTTTTAAATTCTTATTTCAAATTTTAAGTTATTTTTAAAATTTGAATTAAAAATTTTTTTTTTCTTTACCATTCAGTAGAATCATTACATTAATATAACAAATTTATTTTTTCAGCAATTTAAGTATGATCGGAATAATTTGTACAACATCATCCGAAAACATAATTGGTTGCGTTTTTTTCGCCCCATTTCCCAACATCCCGAGCATCCCATCCAACGCTTGGGAATCTTGGATCCACAACAAATACAACTTAGAAAGCGCGAATTCGCAATCAACCCAATTCATACAAATCGTTTTATACCACCAACAATACAAGAAAATCTTTTTAAAACCAATCCTAACCAAAATCTTTGGAATGTACCCCGAATTAAGCTTGATCGTGCTCGTTGTTCCACCGAGAATTAAACTCATAGATTGGACGTGCGATTTAAGCACGACGATCCAATCGGACGAAGAAGTCCAAGGGCAAACTTTGCAGGTTTTTTTAAGGCAAAATTTCGTCGATTTATTCCGAATTAGGATGGGGGTTATGGAAGATAACGACGATTTAGTCCCAATCGTTGATTTATGCAATACAAGATTAAAAAGGATTTATGGGGAATATTACATAGCCGAGATAATCAGCGAAGATAAAAACAGAGAGGTAATCGTCGCTGAGTACAACCAAGAAACGATTGGATTAGTCATATTCAATTCAAACCTAGATTACGACATATTAAACAAAAATTTTCAATTGGAGTGCTTTTACGGGTTAAAAAAAATCGGGGGAAAAGATTTCCGCAAAAAATCGATCGTCATAGACGACCTATTTAGTCGAATTTTTTCGGAAGATCTCGATCACATCATTGATTTATCCAAAGTCGAATCGTTTAGTTTTATTTCAAAAAAAAATGATGATGTAGCAACTCCAAACGATTTAGATTCAAAGAATTTAAACGATTACGTGAATCAAATCCCGATTTCTCAAAATTCGTCTTATTCGTATTACCTCAAAAAATCGACAACGAAAAACTTAAACAAAATCCGAAGCGAATTCCAATTCAGCTCCCACATGTTAACATTCAAAAACAACGACGAATCAGAATTAAAATCCGAAAAATATCGCGAAACTTTCATAAAAAGGCGAAGCATCATCTCGAATAAACCCGAGGAGAATCAATTAAATCAATTATACGTGGGGAATAAAAACGCGTTCGTTTTGGAGATAATCGCCTCAAAACCCAACAAAGAAGACTGCTTTTTATCGTTATTAAACGCAGGATTTGATTTGTACCCGGATAAAGATTTTTGCGTGCTAAGTTTGCCTCAAAACGCTCCAATTTTTCCTTTAATCACTCAATGTATGGTGAGAGTGAGCCCTTTGGCGACTTCGAATTTTCCGCACGAACTCTACGTAACTCATAAAAGCGCAATTTCGGGACGAATTATCATCGAAACGCCGAAAGAATCCGATTTAAACGAAATCAGATTATTTTTATCGGGGGTTACCCAAAAAAAAGAAATCCTCAAAGACTTCTTAATCGCTTTTTACGCAAAAAACAACAACGTGCAACCTTTTGTTATTAAATCGGATAAGAATTTAATCGGATTGGTTGTTTTGCAAGATATGATTAACTTGGAATATGTAATTTCGAGGTACCAAGTGTCGAAAGTAACCGATTTGTCTGTTCATAAACCTGGGTCGTTCGGGCAAATCGTTTATTTCGTTTTATCGCCGATTTTTCAAAAGCACGCCAAGTTTTTGTTGATGGAGTTGCATCGATTGTCCGATTATACTTTGTTGTTTTATTTGCTTTATCCCGACGTGAAGGATCGAAATGTTTATTCCCGAACCGCTTTGGCGTGCGTTTTGGGCGATTTAATTCCGGTTTTGCCGGCGAAAATGCCCGAATATGATAATTTAAAGGAGGAATCGGTTTTTATGAAGATTCCGGATCAACAACTTACCGAAAAACCCTTCGCTGTTTATGTTTCAACGCCCATTTATTGCGGATTAAGGAGGTAAGTTAATTTTAAACAATTATTAAGTTTTAATGTCAAATTTGACGTTATGAAATGATTTAGGTTGGTATCAAATTGAACTAGACATAAATTTGACGTTTGAGTTGGAATATTAAGATTTTAGTGATTTTGTAAATTAGATGAATTGACATAAAAAAATAATTTAATGACAGACGACAATGTCAGTTAAAATTATTTTTTAATGTATTTTTTTATTTTCTAATTTATTTCAATAAAAGTATGCAACAATCAGAATATCAATTAACACTAAATCTAGAACTAAAAGACCTAAGTTTCGGGTTAGGCATAATAAAGCTAAAAATAAACTTTTTTAGTGTCGTCAAAGAAATTAAATTTACAGTTTCCTGTAAATGTTGCGCCATCTATCAATAATTTATTAAGTCATTTAATAATAATATTAAATATTAATAAAAAATGTGAAATAATGCAATCTATTCCAACTTTTGTGTAAAACAAATATAAATTAAATAGTTCAACAAATGTATTTGTTTCAAATATCAGAAATAGTTTTTTTTTTAATTTTTAGTTATAATTTACAGAAAACTGTAAATCAGAAGAATTCTACAAAATTGAAGTACAATAAATATTACAAGATGTTCGAAAATATAATAATAATGTGCAAAATAATAACAATTCCTAATAGTTAGGTTATGCAAATTGAAAACTTTGTCCTAAAAAAAATCCCAAAAAAAAAAAATAACAAATTAAAACTTACGTCAAAATCTCTATAAAAGTAAGATCCAAATTATTGTCAACATGTACTATGATTATTAATTATCAGAAAAATTAACTTTATGGACGCCAATTTTGAGCGCGGGTGAATGTATGTAAATGAGGTTATGTATTATACTAAAGAGGGATCTGTAATAGCGGCATCAATAAACCGATAGGCTAACAGAATAAACCACACAGAAACCGACACAAACGTTTTTTAGAAAACCCACACAAACCGACTGCATAATACCCTATGACGCATACCACCACAATAATCAAAAACTCGCCTCATTTAGAGCCTACATATGACGAGCTTTCAATTCAAATTTAAAACAAGTAGAAATAGAGGAGATTAGAATTATCCAACAAATTGCACAAAATAACAAATACCCATTACACACAATAAACAAACTAATAAATAAAATCCAACATATAACTACAATACAAAATATAACTTCTTTACAGAACCCCAACACTGACAATAACAACATATACCGAGCCATTGCGTACCCAGAACATATATCCTATAGACTCCAAAAAGTTTTCAAACAATATAATATTAACTTAACTTTCAGACCCACATAACATAAAGAATATTTTGGTGAATAATAAGGACAAAACAGATATAATGTAGTCAATTTTTCTCCAATGAAATCTGTAATACCGACCCAACCGACTACTATATCTATTCGGTAAGACTACAATATTAAGTTTTGACTTTTGACACATTAAAAGTGAGGTTAAATGTTCTGTAAAAAAATAACTATTTCAGTTTTGACAAAAATTTTTTAAATTGTTTATTTGTTTGAAGTTTTTGAGCGTTCTCGATTTCGTTTTGTTTTGTTATAACTCATTTCATTTTGAACTTTTGTAACCATTGATACTCCATCTTAGTATATTTTATCGATTTATTGAAAATTAGTTTTGTAATGAACTGGTTCTGTACATTCTTGCACAAATTTTCTAGATCTAGATTTAGTTCAGTAAAAATGTGAAAAATAGAGTTAGATTAAAAACTATAAAATGTCAAAATTAAATATATCTAACTATTTTTTGATAAATATTGAATGATCTTAATAAGCATCAAAAATGCTTTCATTTGATACCAAACATGATATATTTTTGATAAGATAAAAAGTTAGGTTAGAAACTGTCAAATGTCAAAATTAAATATAACGATTTTTTGAGAAATATTGAAATGAACCCAATAAGAATCAACAATGCTTTCATTTGATACTAAACATGATATATTTTTGTCAAAAAATAAAAAAGTTAGGTTAGAGACTCTCAAAAGTCAAAATTAAATATAACTATTTTTTGATAAATAATGAAATGATCTTAATAAGAATCAGAAATGCTTTCATTTGATACCAAACACGATATATTTGGATTAAAAAATAAAAAAGTTAGGTTAGAAACTGTCAAATGTCAAAATTAAATATAACTATTTTTTGATAAATATTGAAATGATCTTGATAAGAATCAAAAATGCTTTAATTTAATACCAAACATGATATATTTGGGTTGAAAAATAAAAGTAAGGTTAGAACTGTCAAATGTCAAAATTAAACAACTATTTTTTGATAAATATTGAATGATCTTAATAAGAATCAAAAATGCTTTAATTTAATACCAAACATGATATATTTTTGTCAAAAAACAAAAAAGTTAGGTTAGAAACTGTCAAATGTCAAAATTAAATATAACGATTTTTTAATAAATATTGAAATGATTTTGATAAGAATCAAAAATGCTTTCATTTGATATCAAACATGATATATTTGGGTTAAAAAATAAAAAAGTTGGGTTAGAAACTGTCAAATGTCAAAATTAAATTTAGCGACTTTTTGATAAATATTGAAATGATCTTGATAAGAATCAAAAATGCTTTCATTTGATACCAAACATGATATATTTTTGATAAAAGATAAAAGTTAGGTTAGAAACTGTCAAATGTCAAAATTAAATATAACTATTTTTTGATAAATATTGAAATGATCTTAATAAGAATCAAAAATGCTTTAATTTGATACCAAACATGATATATTTGGGTTAAAAAATAAAAAAGTTAGGTTAGAAACTGTCAAATGTCAAAATTAAATATAACGATTTTTTGATAAATATTGAAATGATCTTAATAAGAATCAAAAATGCTTTAATTTGATACCAAACATGATATATTTGGGTTAAAAAATAAAAAAGTTAGGTTAGAAACTGTCAAATGTCAAAATTAAATATAACGATTTTTGATAAATATTGAAATGATCTTATAAGAATCAAAAATGCTTTCATTTGATACCAAACATGATATATTTTTGATAAAAGACAAAAAAGTTAGGTTAAAAACTGTCAAATGTCAAAATTAAATATAACTATTTTTTGATAAATATTGAAATGATCTTGATAAGAATCAAAAATGCTTTAATTTAATACCAAACATGATATATTTAGGTTAAAAAACAAAAAAGGTAGGTTAGAAACTGTCAAATGTTAAAAATAAATATAACGATTTTTTTTATAAATAATGAAATGATCTTAATAAGAATCAAAAATGCTTTAATTTGATACCAAACATGATATATTTTTGTCAAAAAATAAAAAAGTTAGATTAGAAACTGTCAAATGTCAAAATTAAATATAATGATTTTTTGATAAATATTGAAATGATCTTAATAAAAATCAAAAATGCTTTAAATTGATACCAAACATGATTTATTTGGGTTAAAAAATAAAAAAGTTGGGTTAGAAACTGTCAAATGTCAAAAATAAATATAATGATTTTTTAATAAATATTGAAATGCTTTTGATAAGAATCAAAAATGCTTTCATTTGATACCAAACATGATATATTTTTGATAAAAAATAAACAAGTTAGGTTAGAAACTGTCAAATGTCAAAATTAAATATAACTATTTTTTGATAAATATTGAAATGATCTTGATAAGAATCAAAAATGCTTTCATTTGATACCAAACATGATTTATTTGGGTTAAAAAATAAAAAAGTTAGGTTAGAAACTGTCAAATGTCAAAATTAAATATACCGATTTTTTGATAAATATTGAAATGATCTTAATAAGAATCAAAAATGCTTTCATTTGATACCAAACGTGATATATTTTTGATAAAAGATAAAAAAGTTAGGTTAGAAATTGTCAAATGTCAAAATTAAATATAACGATTTTTTAATAAATATTAAAATGATCTTAATAAGAATCAAAAATGCTTTCATTTGATACCAAACGTGATATATTTTTAATAAAAGATAAAAAAGTTAGGTTAGAAATTATCAAACGTCAAAATGAAATATAACGATTTTTTGATAAATATTGAAATAATCTTGATAAGAATCAAAAATGCTTTAATTTGATAGCAAACACGATATATTTGGGTTAAAAAAGAAAAAAGTTAGGTTAAAAGCTGTCATATGTCAAATAATCGCCATTTTGTTTTTTATTAAAAATTAAGATATCTCGATAACGGTTAGAGATAAATAGGTCGAGTTTGGGTTCATTTTAAAGGTTTTTTAATTTCCCATCGATTAACATTAAAAAAAGAACAGCTTGTCAACATCAAAAATTAATTTCTTTTCTTTTTAGAACCGAAATAAACTCCCAAATAGTCGTAATCGGCGCGAGCGACGCCGGATTATGCGTTCATTTAATACCAAATATGATATATTTGGGTTAAATAATTAAAAATTTGGTTAGAAACTGTCAAATGTCAAAATTAAATTTAACGATTTTTTGGTAAATATTGAAATGATCTTAATAAGAATCAAAAATGCTTTAATTTAATACCAAACACGATATATTTGGGTTAANAAAATGTCAAAATTAAATATATCTAACTATTTTTTGATAAATATTGAATGATCTTAATAAGCATCAAAAATGCTTTCATTTGATACCAAACATGATATATTTTTGATAAGATAAAAAGTTAGGTTAGAAACTGTCAAATGTCAAAATTAAATATAACGATTTTTTGAGAAATATTGAAATGAACCCAATAAGAATCAACAATGCTTTCATTTGATACTAAACATGATATATTTTTGTCAAAAAATAAAAAAGTTAGGTTAGAGACTCTCAAAAGTCAAAATTAAATATAACTATTTTTTGATAAATAATGAAATGATCTTAATAAGAATCAGAAATGCTTTCATTTGATACCAAACACGATATATTTGGATTAAAAAATAAAAAAGTTAGGTTAGAAACTGTCAAATGTCAAAATTAAATATAACTATTTTTTGATAAATATTGAAATGATCTTGATAAGAATCAAAAATGCTTTAATTTAATACCAAACATGATATATTTGGGTTGAAAAATAAAAGTAAGGTTAGAACTGTCAAATGTCAAAATTAAACAACTATTTTTTGATAAATATTGAATGATCTTAATAAGAATCAAAAATGCTTTAATTTAATACCAAACATGATATATTTTTGTCAAAAAACAAAAAAGTTAGGTTAGAAACTGTCAAATGTCAAAATTAAATATAACGATTTTTTAATAAATATTGAAATGATTTTGATAAGAATCAAAAATGCTTTCATTTGATATCAAACATGATATATTTGGGTTAAAAAATAAAAAAGTTGGGTTAGAAACTGTCAAATGTCAAAATTAAATTTAGCGACTTTTTGATAAATATTGAAATGATCTTGATAAGAATCAAAAATGCTTTCATTTGATACCAAACATGATATATTTTTGATAAAAGATAAAAGTTAGGTTAGAAACTGTCAAATGTCAAAATTAAATATAACTATTTTTTGATAAATATTGAAATGATCTTAATAAGAATCAAAAATGCTTTAATTTGATACCAAACACGATATATTTGGGTTAAAAAATAAAAAGTTAGGTTAAAAGCTGTCAAATGTCAAATAATCGCCATTTTGTTTTTTATTAAAAATTAAGATATCTAGATAACGGTTAGAGATAAATAGGTCGAGTTTGGGTTCATTTTAAAGGATTTTTAATTTCCCATCGATTAACATTAAAAAAAGAACAGCTTGTCAACATCAAAAATGAATTTCTTTTCTTTTTAGAACCGAAATAAACTCCCAAATAGTCGTAATCGGCGCGAGCGACGTCGGATTATGCGTTCATTTAATACCAAATATGATATATTTGGGTTAAATAATTAAAAATTTGGTTAGAAACTGTCAAATGTCAAAATTAAATTTAACGATTTTTTGGTAAATATTGAAATGATCTTAATAAGAATCAAAAATGCTTTAATTTAATACCAAACATGATATATTTGGGTAAAAAAATAAAAGTCAGGTTAGAACTGTCAAATGTCAAAATTAAACAACAATTTTTTGATAAATATTGAGTGATCTTAATAAGAATCAAAAATGCTTTCATTTGATACCAAACATGATATATTTTTGATAAAAGATAAAAAAATTAGGTTAAAAACTGTCAAAATTAAATATAACTATTTTTCGATAAATATTAAATGATTTTAATAAGCATCAAAAATGCTTTCATTTGATACCAAACATGATATATTTTTGATAAAAGATAAAAAAGTTAGGTTAGAAACTGTCAAATGTCAAAATTAAATATAACGATTTTTTGATAAATATTGAAATGCTTTTGATAAGAATCAAAAATGCTTCCATTTGATACCAAACATGATATGTTTTTGTAAAAAAATAAAAAAGTTAGGTTAGAAACTGTCAAATGACAAAATTAAATATTACTATTTTTTGATAAATAATGAAATGATCTTAATAAGAATCAGAAATGCTTTCATTTGATACCAAACATGATATATTTTTAATAAAAGATAAAAAAGTTGGGTTAGAAACTGTCAAATGTCAAAATTAAATCTAGCTATTTTTTATGAGTATTGAATGATCTTAATAAGAATAAAAAATACTTTCATTTGATACCAAACATGATATATTTTTGTTAAAAAATAAAAAAGTTAGGTTAGAAACTGTCAAATGTCAAAGTTAAATTTAGCGACTTTTTGATAAATATTGAAATGATCTTGATAAGAATCAAAAATGCTTTCATTTGATACCAAACACGATATATTTGGGTTAAAAAATAAAAAAAGTTAGGTTAGAAACTGTCAAATGTCAAAATTAAATATAACGATTTTTTGATAAATATTGAAATGATCTTAATAAGAATCAAAAAACTTTAAACTGATACCAAACATGATATATTTGAGTTAAAAAATAAAAAAGTTAGGTTAAAAACTGTCAAATGTCAAAATTAAATATATCGATTTTTTGATAAATATTGAAATGATCTTAGTAAGAACCAAAAATGCTTTCATTTGATACCAAACACGATATATTTGGGTTAAAAAACAAAAAAGTTAGGTTAAAAGCTGTCAAATGTCAAATAACCGCCATTTTGTTAAAAATTAAGATATCTCGATAACGGTTAGAGATAAATAGGTCGAGTTTGGGTTCATTTGAAAGGATTTTTAATTTCCCATCGATTAATATTAAAAAAAGAACAGCTTGTCAACATCAAAAAATAATTTCTTTTCTTTTTAGAACCGAAATAAACTCCCAAATAGTCGTAATCGGCGCGAGCGACGCCGGATTATCATTTTTAACGAACTTAATCTTCCACAACACGAAAAACACCCACACCACATTCACCAACATCACCTTGGTCTCAACCCATGGTTTACCATCGCACAAACCCAACAAAATCAAAGACATGATGATCCCGAACACCTCAGAAATCGGATCCAGCAGGTATTTATCGACGATTTCTTTACCCACTTACGTCAACGTAATCGAAGGTGTTATGTCGATGATCGATCGCGCCAACAAAGCGATTCTCGTCAATTCGACTTGGTTGCATTACGACGTTTTAATTTTAACATGCGGAAGTCAATTTCAAATCCCCACAATAAAAGATTTAAAGGATGAGGATAAAATAAAAGGCTTCGGCGAAAATATTAACGACATTTACGTTGAGTGTCCCGACAACGTTTTTGTGATTAACACCTTAACCGACGTTGACATGGCGATTGAGTCGCTAAAAGAGTTAGGGAAGATCCTCAAAAATGAGGAGCACGAAAATTTAGGGCACATAATCGTTTATGGGAACTCGATCGAAGCTTATTCTTGCTTAGAAACATTATTAGAACTAAATTTATCGCGATTAATCTTTGTGGAGCCGCATAACGAAGGATTTTTTAACGCGTTCGAAGACGAAGAGATTTCTAAAACGATTAAATTTCGGTTAAGAAGAGACGGGGTTAAGATTTTGGAGAATTTTCATTTTTACACGTGGAGTTACGATTACGAGGAGACACGCAAAAATAACGTCATTGAAATTCGATTTAAAAGCGAGAAAAGATTCATTTCAATTCCTTGTTTAGCCGCTTTTCTTTACGGCGAAAAAGCGATTAGTCGAGTTACATTAAACGCGATTAATCGTGCCAATTTAATTTACGACGGCCATCTCGTAATCGACGAAGACTTCAAAACGAACGACCCCAATATTTACGCAATCGGAAGGATCACCAAGTATCCAAGACGATTTTACGCCGATCATATGAGACATAAACATTTTAACCAAGTTGAAATCGGGAAGAAATTGTCCCAAGTTGTTTTAAAACGGTTAATTAATCCAAGATTGAATCGAAATTTTAATCAAGATGATAAAGACGAAGACAAAAAGAGATTAGTTCCGAGATATTTCGAGCCGATTTATATTTACGCGAAATTACCCCGAAAATTGGAATACTTTTTGATTACAAAACCGGGTTTAACAACTCCTCTAGATTTGATTGAAAACGACGATGACCACAAAACGATTTCAACGGGAAAAGCGCGGTTTTTAACCGATAAATGTTACTTCAAAATACGAATAGATCGATATAACACGATCGAAATGCTCCAAGTCTTATCAAAAAAGAAAATTGACACGACTAATTTGTATCATTTATGGGGAAAGCACGAATCGTTGTTGAACAATTTAATTTTACGCTATGATATGGGTTTAATTGAGGATTTGTTTGATTATTTCACGCAACCTTCGATTTATGCGTTGTATCACGATCGATACGCGATTCTAAATCAGGAATTGAACGAGATTTTGACATCTTTGAGTGTAAATATATTCTAAAAAATTAATTTAATTTAATTTAATTTAATCATAAAATTGTAGGATACCCCCGGGACGTCGGTTATTGAAGATGTGATCGAGAAAATCGAAAAAAATCATTATCAAAAAGTGAGAATTAAATAATTATTTAATAATTAAGTAATTAATACAATTTTTTTTAGATAACTAACGACCAATTCAATAAAATGATGGTGAAATTGAAAGATTCCGATTATTTTAAAGAGATGGAGAATAAGGTGATTGAGTTTTTGTCGAAAAACATGAACTATTTGCCGATGTATTTGACGCCGGCGATGATCAATATCATTTTGGGGCCGTACGAGGAGAGCCCGCTATTTAAGATAATGTGACATAACTTATTTTTTATTAAAAAAATTTATTATGTAATGTGTAAAATAATAAATAGGGTGTTAAAAATGATTAAATCTCCAATAAAACTTGAATAAGAATCGAAAATGCTTTCATTTGATACCAAACATGATATATTTGGGTTAAAAAATAAAAAAGTTAGGTTAGAAAATGCCAAAATTAAATGTAACGATTTTTTGATAAATATTGAAATGATTTTAATGAGAATCAAAAATGCTTTTATTTGATACCAAACATGATATATTTGGGTTAAAAAATAAAAAAGTTAGGTTAGAAAATGTCAAAATTAAATGTAACGATTTTTTAATAAATACTAAAATGATCTTAATAAGAATCAAAAATGCTTTAATTTGATACCAAACATGATATATTTTTGATAAAAGATAAAAGTTAGGTTAGAAACTGTCAAATGTCAAAATTAAATGTGACGATTTTTTGATAAATATTGAAATGATTCTAATGAGAATCAAAAATGCTTTCATTTGATACCAAACATAATATATTTCGGTTAAAAAAAATAAAAAAAGTTAGGTTAGAAACTGTCAAATGTTAAATAACCGCCATATTTTTTTTGCTAAAAATTAAGATATCTCGATAACCATTAGAGATAAATAAGTCGAGTTTGGGTTCATCTTAAAGGATTTTTAATTTTCTATCTATTTATGTTAAAAAAAGAACACCTTTATAATTAAAAAAAAATTCTGAATTGATCCTTATTAAGAAACAAACACAAAATTTTGTTATGTTCAACTAATCGGGCGTGCTCAACCGTGTTGACTTTTGTTGGCAAATATGATATATTTAGGTTAAAAAATAAAAAAGTTAGGTTAGAAACTGTCAAATGACAAAATTAAATATATCGATTTTTTGGTAAATATTGAAATGATCTTAATAAGAATCAAAAATGTTTTAATTTGATACCAAACATGACGTATTTGACTTAAAAAATAAAAAAGTTAGGTTAGAAACTGTCAAATGTCAAAATAAATGTAACGATTTTTTGATAAATATTGAAATAATGTTAATAAGAATCAAAAATGCTTTCATTTGATACCAAACATGATATATTTTTGTTAAAAAGTAAAAAAATTAGGTTAGAAACTGTCAAATGTCAAAATTAAATATAACGATTTTTTGATAAATATTGAAATGATGTTAATAAGAATCAAAAATGCTTTCATTTGATACCAAACATGATATATTTTTGATAAAAAATAAAAAAGTTAGGTTAGAAACTGTCAAATGTCAAAATTAAATATAACGATTTTTTGATAAATATTGAAATGATCTTAATAAGAATCAAAAATGCTTTAATTTGATACCAAACATGATATATTTGGGTTAAAAAATAAAAAAGTTAGGTTAGAAACTGTCAAATGTCAAAATTAAATATAACGATTTTTTGATAAATATTGAAATGATCTTAATAAGAATCAAAAATGCTTTAATTTGATACCAAACATGATATATTTGGGTTAAAAAATAAAAAAGTTAGGTTAGAAACTGTCAAATGTCAAAATTAAATATAACGATTTTTTGATAAATATTGAAATGATCTTAATAAGAATCAAAAATGCTTTAATTTGATACCAAACATGATATATTTGGGTTAAAAAATAAAAAAGTTAGGTTAGAAACTGTCAAATGTCAAAATTAAATATAACGATTTTTTGATAAATATTGAAATGATCTTAATAAGAATCAAAAATGCTTTAATTTGATACCAAACATGATATATTTGGGTTAAAAAATAAAAAAGTTAGGTTATAAACTGTCAAATGTCAAAATTAAATATAACGATTTTTTGATAAATATTGAAATGATCTTAATAAGAATCAAAAATGCTTTCATTTGATACTAAACACGATATATTTTTGTTAAAAAATAAAAAAGTTAGGTTAGAAACTGTCAAATGTCAAAATTAAATTTACCGATTTCTTGATAAATATTGAAATGATCTTAATAAGAATCAAAAATGTTATCATTTGATACCAAACATGATATATTTTTGTCAAAAAAATAAAAAAGTTAGGTTAGAAACTGTCAAATGTTAAAATTAAAAATAACGATTTCTTGATAAATATTGAAATGGTCTTAATAAGAATCAAAAATGTTATCATTTGATACCAAACATGATATATTTTTGTCAAGAAAATAAAGAAGTTAGGTTATAAACTGTCAAATGTCAAAATTAAATATAACGATTTTTTGATAAATATGGAAATAATCTTAATAAGAATCAAAAATGCTTTCATTTGATACCAAACATGATATATTTGGGTTAAAAAAAAGTTAGGTTAGAAACTGTCAAATGTCAAATAACCGCCATTTTTTTGTTACAAATTAAGATATTTCGATAACGGTTAGAGATAAATAGGTCGAGTTTGGGTTCATATTAAAGGATTTTTAATTTCCCATCCAATAATGTTAAAAAAAGAACACCTTGTCAACGTCAAAATTATTTTTTTTTGTTGTAGACTAGACGTCGCGCCTCATTTTACCTACATAAAGAAATAAAACGCAACGTTCAGCGTTCGAGCGGCTATGATGAAATACCTTGTTCGTTACTAGACAAGGTGTCCCACGTTGTGTTCATCCCTTCTCCCTATAATATATGGAGTCCTGCAAGTAAGTTTATCTTGTACATAAATGATATCCCATTATCTTGTGAAAATTGTAGGGAATTTTAAGTCTTTCTTCTTTGTGAACATGTCCCATATAATTTACCTCTTTCATCCCAAACTGGCACTTACTTCTATTAAATCTATCTTTTGATGATGTAACTTTTTCAAATAATCTTTTAACCCTTGTGTTACTAACCAATTTTTTCTATTTAGCACTTGAAAGTTGAAAACATACACAGATATGCGGTTAGTAACACAAGGATTAAAATGTTCTTCTTTCAACCCTTGGTAAGTCACTAAATAGCTCCTGAAATGATCTGTGAAATACTTCGGGTGCTGAACAAAGTCCAGAAGAAATTTTTTTGTAACAATATGTTGTGAGTAGTTAACTTTCTTTCTTTAATTTGATTCGATAAAATCCTTAACTTTTCAATATAACGCTAAACCTTATCACGAAATTATGCGGAATATCAAATAAATAGAATACATAGTATCGTGAAGACCGGCAATAACGAGCACGCAATAAGTCCCGTCAAAAGTCCTATCCTTATGTTAAAGATCTCGGCTATAACGAACTAATTTTGCATGTTTTGTATCGCCTATAACGAGCGGATGAGGTAAAGTCATGCATAAACGGTGATGGCGCGGAGAAAACAAGATTGTGTGTAATACTAATAAGTAAACCCAAATAACCACGCTGCTTCAAAAATTGTCTAAAACCTTCCAGTATGATATTTGATAGTGCTAGTTATTGATTGGTAGAAGTGGTGAGTGGTTTGGTGGAGAAGAAAGCCATATGCCAAAAGGCAGGTCGGTCGTCATCATGTTTAGAGTGGAAAACCTGAAAATTTTCTATGACGTGACACTCCCAGTCAAATCATAAGGCGTCAAATCAAGAGTACAAATACGTTTTCGCCGTTTTCTATCAAAAATTAGGAAAGCATTGTGAAATAACGACACATTACTTTTTATTTAAGGTATTGTCCATCACTAGCCACCACTTTTTCCTATCTTTCTGGCAGTATTCAGATACCACATCAAAAGAACTCTTCATTTTTTATGGGTATCATGGTATGGGAGAATAATTTTGTCGTATCTGGAGTAGTTTAAGAGTGTCTAGAGTTTATAGGCGCGTTTTTCCTCAATCTCATTAATTGTAGAGAGTTCCAGTAATAGTTTCCTGGAGTCCTGGTTTGTCTGTTGATGTTGAAGTATGACCAGGTGGTCCACATGATTCTCTCTTCTTTGGATTATCATATTGGACTATACCATGCAAAAAAAGCTTTCTTTTATGCATAGCAAGCAATATTTCACACATCCAAAATGCGCGTTCAACATCTCTCAGCTTAAATTCATATGGAATCCAATTTCCTTGTTTATGAATCACTTACAACGATTTTAAACGAAGTGAAATTGCTTGTTGAGTCACTTTTAATGGAAATCCAAGTTAATCTTGCGTTTGAGACGAATCTTTCTCCAATAATGCTTCCAATTCCACCATAAGCAATCTTTCCATATGCTTCTACAAGCAATTGAAGCGCCTCAAATGCATATATCTTCAAATTAAAGAAGTATATCAAAATGACACTTACTTTATTCTCATATTAAGAGTTAAATCACTCTTTATTTAATTAAAACTAAACTTAGTAAGCTTAATAATTATGTTGTAAAATATTCCAAGTTTAATTTGATGCATAAATTTTTACCTAATCTCCATAAAGAATCCTAGGAAGATTTTTTAAAACTTTCCAACCTCTTTTTTATCTTCCTCAGCACTTATTTCAATTTAAACCATTAATTAAACAGGTTATGTAAATTCATAAATATGAAATTAATTATTAGGAAGATTTTTAAACGTTTTAAATGCTTCTACCTTTGTAGTATTCAAAAAAAACTCGTTTTTTACATATTAGATAACCAAGAAACCTTGATGACCAATTCAAACGCCAATTAATCGGTTATTAAGACTCAATTAAACCCAATTTGTGACAAACCTTTAAATTGCGTTCTTCTTCCCTAAAACATTCGTTTTTGTACCGAAAAAACGGATCAATACAACAATAAATAAATAAATAAGAAAAATGTGACAAGGTGACGCATTACGAAACGTTTTTCTTTTGTTTATTAAAAAAGTTACTTAAAAAAAACTCACCCTTTCGTAAGAATCCCTCTTCCTGATCTCAGAAACGATCCACGGCAACATAGGGATCGAAAATCTTCTGTCCATGGCCGTAAATCCATGGTAAAAAACCGGGATAAGTCTCATGGTAACCCAACAAAACGAATTTAACCCGACTTCTTCGCGAAAAATCAAAATTTAACCATCGTTTCGCGTTTATTTTTCACGCACACTCTTTATTCTCTTCTCAATCTGTCAAATACGAATCAATACATGGTTAAATCGAAAAAAATTTGTTACAATTTGGAAAAATCGGAAAAACCAACGCGAAATTAATTTTATTTTTAAACCCGAACCCAACACTTCGACGGTCAAAATGCGTTTGAATGTAAACAATTTTTTTTTAACGTATTTCTTCGCGAAATCGCCGCGACATCTATACGACAAAAGCGAAAGTTGCGATTGAGGCTAATTTCATTTTAATCGAAAATAAAATAAAAATTAATTATTTAATTATCAATAATAATTAATTGTTAATTTTAAATTTAAAATTAAAAAAGGAATTAATTTTAAATGATTATTAGAAAACGATGAATTTAATAATAAATAAAATTTTGACATAACCTCACATAACCTTAAAACGTCAAACGCATGTTGATCGTTTTAAAATGGGTAAAAGAGGCTTTAATTGGAAAGCTAGGCAAGTTGTTGAAGCTGAAATCGATAATAACCCAACTAAGAAGGTAAATTAATTATGCTTTTTGTGCAAATTTAATTAAAAACGATTTTTAGATTAAATTAGAAATTGAATCGAAAGGAAACTACGACGAAAGCAACGAATTAGTTCTCCCTTCAATAAAAAGAACCACGAAAATAAAGAATAAAAAAGAACAACACGTAAAAATTCTAAGTAAAAAGCAAAGAAAACGATTGGAGAAGATCGTCGAAAGAAAAGAAAAGAAAAAACAGGTAAATTTTACATCGTAATTAATAAAAGACTAATTTTTTTAAATCTTTTTAAGCGTACCGAGCTTTTAGATGAATTAATAAAAATCCAAGCGAAACAAGAAGACTTAAATCAACTCGTTTCGTTATCGACAATTCAAACTAAAGGAATTAAGAAACATTTCATTGAAAGTAAACGCCCAAAAAGCGATAATAAAATCGAAAATAACTTTAAAATCAACAGTATAAAAGGGAGTCGAAAAAAATTGTTGAATTACGAAGATAATAAGCCTTTGTACGATAAAAATAACCCTAATATCGTTGGATTAGACTCGGAGTCAAGTGAATCGGAGAATGATTCAAATTTAGAGTTAAATGAAAATGTGGAAGATGATGAAATAAAATTAGATGATGATAAAAATGATGATTTTAAAGAAAAGGAGAAAGATAAAACCGAAATGAAACGAAAAAATGTTGAAATTAATTTAGATAAGGTGGAGAAGAAACCTGCAATTTTTGTTGATGTTGTTCGTGATGAAAAAATTCAAGAAGCAAGGTTAAAATTACCCATTTTAGCGGAAGAACAAGTTATTATGGAGACGATTAACGAAAATTCCATTATTATAATAGCTGGAGAAACCGGTGAGTACCCCAAAAATAAATGTTTGAGGTTAAAATTATAAAGTAGCGCCATCTATGAATGAGAAACCAAAATTTTTTTATCGATAATGAAGTGACGTTTTAGGTTATGTTTTGACGTCTAATAAATACTAAGTTTTTTTTATATTTAATTTAATAATGATATAATTCAAGAATCATCGTGTCGCTTAAAAATCGATAATTTTTTTTTAATCGATGGGAAATCACTCAAGTGAAAAAATCGAAACTTACCGAAAATTCACTTTAAAGTTTTGAGTGAATGCCACTGTTGGTAAAAGACTAATTTATTGCTATCAGAAGATTAAATATTGCTAATAAAAAGTTAAAAACAGCTTGGAAAGAATTTTAAAAAGTTACCTACTGCTTCTAAAATGCTAGATACTGCAGAAAAAGACCACAACTTACTTGGAAAAGACTAGATACTGTTTTCAAAATAATATCTATTGCTTCCAGAGTGCTAAACACTGCTGTTAAAGGTTTTGACATACTTGGAGAGGAATTAAACTTTTTTATAAAATTTCTAAACGCTGCCGAAATCTAGTGTCGTCGAAGTAATGAAATTTACAGTTTTCTGTAAATTACGGGGCAATATTTAAATGACGGGGTATTATTTTTCTGGTATTTAAAAACAAATAATTGTGTTTATTACATCAACTTTTAATATGGAAATATTGAATGGATTGCATTGTTTTGGATTGGAGAAATATGTTTTTTGAATTTTTAGTTATAGTACCATAATTTACAGGAAACTGTAAATTTAATTTCTTACAACACTAAGAAAAAAGTTTATTTTAGCATTATTCTAAAACAATAAAAAATAGACCTGTCAAAATCTATATTTTTGTAATCAGAAAAAAATAACGAATAAGCTTCTTTTTTTATAACTCTTGTAGTTTCCGAATTAGCCTATTCGGACATCGAATTTGAATCACCCTGTACACCAATTGAATAAGAAACATTTATCCTCACTCTGCCGAGGTCGCTTGCGGGCGAGGCAGTGGTTATGTAACTATATCGACATAAGATATCGTAAGATAGCATAAGATATCACTATATTGCATATTTTTATTGCACTAAAACTAGAACTAGAAACATTCGGGTTTAGTCGTGCGTCTAGACACTTTTTTATAAAATGTCTTAAAATTTGACATATTTGTAATCTTCATTAAAAATCCTTTAAAATGAGTACAAACACGACATATTTATCTTCAATATTAATGAAGTTATGGTCAACTTCCGGTTAGAAATGTCAACCTCAATTTTGACATATTTGTAATCGTCGTGAAAAATCCTTTAAAACGAGTCCAAACATGATAAGTTTAATTCCAATATTACTCGAGATATAAGCGACTTCCGGTTTGAAATGTCAATGTCATTTTGATATATTCTTAATTTTTATAAAATGTCTTAAAATTTGTCACAAAAATAAAAATATAATCAAAAAAAAACAGAAATTAAGGTTGGTATTAATATTTAAAAATTAAATTGCTATCTTCACTGTTGCTAACTTCCGGTTTAATGCTTTTTCGTGTTTTGAGATAAGTGCGTCGTGTTTGGACTCATTTTAAAGGCTATTTTATAAAGATTACGAATATAATAATAAAATTAAAGTTGACATTAACACTAACTTTCTAAAAAATATCAAAATTATTTCAAAAAATTCATGAATTAA